GTGGTGTGGGGATGGGTTTGCAGGTTTTCATGCCAAACCTCTCAAGAATCTTCTCGATGTAAAAAGACTGAGAGAGGGTGATGGTCTTGGCAGTGAGGTCGCGGGTGATCTCCATGCCGAGGTAGTTGCGGACCTCCCCCAGGTCTTTGCAAGCGAGGCGTTTCTGCAGCTCATCTTTGACCTCCTGGAGTTCAGAATCTGTGTCAGCTGCCAGTAGCATGTCGTCGACGTAGACGAGGATGAAGAAGGGTGATGGGGTGAGGCGTAGGAAGAGGCAAGAGGCAGCACGAGAGGGGCGAAAGCCAAGAGCACGAAGGGTGGAGGAGAGTTTGGCGTGCCATTCCTGAGGGGCTTGTTTGAGCCCATAGACTGGGCGTAGCAATTTCCAGACAGTAGCAGGGTCGTGAGGGGCGTGGAAGCCTTTGGGTCGTTCCAGAAAGATGAGTTCGTGAAGGTCGCCTTGTAGAAAGGCGGTGGTGACATCCATGGAATGAAGTATCATCCCACGCCTTCCAACAAAGTCCAAAAACACGCGAATGACCGGCGGAGTGGCGGTGGGTGAGTAGGTCTCGAAGAAGTCGGAGCCATAGGTCTGTGTGAAGCCTTTTGCCACATATCGAGCTTTGTAGACCGGAGCGTCGCCTGGAAGTAGTTTGACTCGGAATAGCCATCTGCCTTTGACCACGTTGTGCTTAGAGGGACGAGGAACGTCGAGAAACGAGCGATTGCTGATGAAGGCGTTGCTCTCCTTGACCATGGCCTCGATCCAGAGAGGTGCGTCAAGACAGGCCAGTGCTTGCTCATAGGTGGTGGGTTCGTAGATGGTGGGTGTGGTGGAGAAGAGAAGGACAGTGGTGCCAGCCATTGTGCGGACGACAGGGGCGATGGTGGGTGAGAGGAGGTGGAGGAAAAGAAGCTCATCGTGAGAGTCTTCAGAGAGGTCCGGAGTGAGAGGAGGAGGAAGAGGAGGCGGTGGAGTTGCAAGACAGCTGCGCTGGAGGGTCGGGCCGATGCGGGGACACAGCTGCACTGGTGCTCTGCTGTGCTGAGGGTCGGGGCGGGGAGACAGCTGCATTGCAGCTCGGCTTCGCTGAGTTGCCGTGAGGGGTAGGGAGACGGGAGCGCGACTGGCGAGAGCACCTGAGGTGCTGGTGCGGGGGGAAGGGGAGGTGCTATGGTGGCGGAGAAGGGGGACTGATGTGAGAGACTGGAGGGAGGGGGGGGTGGACCTTGGGGTACCAAGAATGGGGACCGTGGAGCGGGTGTGAGGGTAGTGGCGGAGTATGAGAGGGGGAGTGGGAAGTAGGGGCCGGGAGGATGGAGGTGGAGTGAGTGGGGGAGGGCGTGGGGAGGGGGGAGGTGGGGGATGTTGTGCATGGGGGGAAGGGGGGGGGGGGAGGGGCAGCGGGTGGGGAGGGAGGGGGAGGGGCAGCGGGTGTGGAGGGAAGGGGAGGGGCAGCGGGTGGGGAGGGAGGGTGGACGGGGTCAAGGATGTCTCCTGATGAGGCGGGGGGAGAGGGGGGAGGGGGTGGGGGTGCAGGGGGGACGATGGTGGGGGGGGGGGAGAAGGGAAGGGGAGGGGAGAGGGGGTGGGGGGGGAATGGTGTCAGTCCAGAGGAAGGGACGGGTGGTTAGAGGGAGGGGGTTAGGGACTTTGGGGGAGGTGTAGTACGGGCGGGCTTCATCGAATTCCACATCTCGACTACGAATGAGGCGACCTGAGGGGGGATGGAGGAAGAGATAGTCCGGGGAGGAGGTGTTGTGACCAAGGAAAATGCAGGGGAGAGTGCGGGAGGCTAGCTTTCCAGCTGTGCGTGAGCGGTCGACAGGGTGTATGAGAACATACGCCATGGAACCCCATACGCGCAGGGGGGTGATGTCGGGCTTTTTGGATGTCCAGAGTGCGGTGGGAGTGGTGGTGGGCCGGGAGGGATGAGGGTACAAGTTAGTGAGGATGGCAGCGTGGAGGATGGCATAGCCCCAGAGAGAGGGCGGGCAGGAGGCATGGACCATGAGGCACCGAGCAGTCTTGGTGACCTCACGGACCCTGCTCTCTGCCACGCCATTCTGCTGAGGGGAATGAGGTAGGGTGTAGGTGTGAATAATGCCACGAGTGGTGCACTAGGATGAGAGCATGTTGTTAAGGAACTCACCACCGCCATCAGAGTGGAAGCGGGAGACAGGGCGTTTGAAATGGGTGCGTGCTTGTTCAGCCCAAGCAATAATAGCAGCCGGGGCCTCCGCCTTCGTGCGAAGGAGGGAGACGGAGGAGTAGCGGCTATGGTCATCCACCAGGATGAGCAGGTATTTATGACCTTGCCTGGTGGGGGAAGGGTTGGGGCCCCAGAGGTCCATGTGGACGAGATCAAGAGGCTGGGGAGAAAAGGAGGGATGACTCTTGTGGGGGGCCTGTTTCAGTTTGCTTTCAACGCATACTGAGCAGGGAGGGGAGGGTGATGGGGGGAGAGGGGGAAGGGTGAGGGGGAGTCCGTCGAGGAGTTGGGTGGAGACAGTTTGACGGAGGGTGGCAAAGTTGGGATGACCCAACCTATGGTGAAGGAGAACTGCGGGGTGGGTGAGGTCACGACAGTGACAGGAGGAGGTGGGGGAGGGGGGGGGGGGGGGGGGGGAGGGGAGGGGAGGGGATGGGAGGGGAGGGGGGAGGGGATGGGGGAGGGGATGGGAGGTGGGGAGGGAAGGGGGAGCGGAGGTGAGGGGAGGGGAAGGGGTGAGGTGGGGGCGATGAGGTGGTGAATGGAGGTGCAAGGGGTGCGGTACGTGTACAGGTTTGTGCGAGGGCAGAGGGGAATGCGACAGATGAAGCGACCAGTGGTGGTTTGAAAGAGGTCGCAGTGGCGTGCATGACCGGGGAAGAGGGCGGTGATATTGAACCTGGTGAGGTCACACAGTGCTACCAGATTGTTGCGTAGGGAGGGGATGTATAGACCTGTGATTGTACCTGAGGGGAAGATGGGACAGGGGAGGGTGGAGGTGTGACTACTTGTGATGGTGAAGCTGGAGTCAGCTCCGTGGATAGTGGAGGGAGTGGGGAGGGGTACCAGTGTGCCTGCATCACGCAGAACAGTGTGTGTCGCTCCACTGTCAAGGATAAACTCAAGGCATGAAGAGGAGGAGGAAAAGGCGGAGTACTGGAAGAGAGACTCATTAATAGCATGTGCATACATAGAATCAGCAGGAGCAGTGCGAACATGTCCTATGAATCCAGCAGAGGGGAACGGAGTAAAGCCAGGAGGGTTGGAGGAGGAGGAGGGTGGTTCAGCAAGATTAGCAGCAGGTCCAATAGGTCCATGACCATATCCAGGAGGTGGGTAAGGAGGGTAAGGCCAGCCAGCATAGGGTGGAGGGTAGTGAGGGGGAGGGGCTTGAGGCGGAGGTGTGGATGGAGGAGGAGTGGGAGTGGTGGGAGTGGAGGGGAGAAGATGCTGAACTTGTTGAAGGATGTGAAATGGGAGATGCTGAGTGAGGACATTGTGAAGGTTGGGAGTAGAGGGTTGATAGGCGAGGAGGGTGCGGATGTCATGAATGGAGGGGCGTGGGAAAACAGTGTTCCAGCGAGGTGGAGTGCCAACGTTGCCACGTGCAAACCACTCGTCAGTGAGGGCTTTGAAGCACGTGTCCGTGGTGTGAGTGGTCTGAGAGCATGGCTGATCTTTGTTGGAGCCATAACGGATGATGTACTGACACGGGGGGAAGGGTGCCTGAAGGTGAGGGATATCCGCCGCGTCCGCCACGGCCACCACCGCGACCACCACCGCGTCCTCCGCCTCGGCCGCCACCACGTCCACCACCACCACTACCGGCGCCACCTGGGCCGCCACCTGCTCCGCTGTTGTGGTTGCCTGTGGTAGCTTTGCGGGTCTGGACAGCATTGACGGTGGCGGAGTCACGTTGAATGTCCGTTTCGCTGTCAAGGAGCCACTCGATGGTGTCAGCCACAGGAGGAGGATGACGGTAGCGAGAGGTGAAGGTGATGCGGTAGGTGTCATATGTGGGAGGGAGGCAGTCGAGGATGCGTGCAGTAAGAAGGGACGCAGAGATGACAATGCCCCGGTCATTGAGGCGTTGCGCAGTGTCAATGAGGCGACGGGTGTAGGCAGCAGCAGTGGGGGAGGAGTCAAGGGTGATGTCTTGGAATTTGCGAAAGAGGGCGAGGAGGGAGCGAAGGTCCTGACGGTCGTACTGAGTAGAGAGGGTTTTCCAGAGTCCAGAGGAGGAGGTGGGACGAAGGTCGCGTTTGAGGTGGGAGGGGATGCAGGAGAAGATGATGGCGAGTGCACGACGATCAGCAATGCGCCATGCTGCAACATCCTTGTGGATCTTGCGAAGCTCCTCAGCATAGTCTTTTTCGTCTTGAGCGTAGGAGAGGATGCGTGCAGTAGCATCAGCATGTGCTGCTTCCGCAACACGGTGCGCCTCACGCTGGAGGGTGTAAGTGTCGCGAAGCCTGTTGTAGGCGTTCAGGTTGGCCCCCCAGCGATCCGGGTTGTCATCATGAACTGGGGCACGCGGGGGGTCGGGAAGAGGCTCGGGTGGAGGAGGGGCGTCAGGGGGAGGAGGTTCAAGGGGAGGGGGGAGAACAGGTGGGAGGCCATTAGGGTGCTCGAGGACTACATCAAGAAGGCAATAGTCTTGAATAATGACGGAGCCAAGGTGCGTGTGAAGCGTATCTTCAAACGACGCCCAGTTGACGGCCGTGGTGTCATGGAGAAGTTCGAGCTTGTCAATGGCTCCGAGCTCAATGGGAGTGGAGTCGTCCGCCATGAGGAGGAGGAGGAGAGGGGGTGACGACACCGGCTTAAGGGCGGGTGCGGTCAAAGAGGACGACACCACTTGGAGGGGTGGTGCGGTCACGTTACGCGTGGCGGCGCCGGGTTACCCGCAGCTGCGTTTGTGTCGCCCGTGGTTGCGCCTCGTGGCCCGCGACTGTGCGTCGGTCCGTGGATGCGCCTCGTCGCCCGTGGGTGCGCGTCCGTCCGCGGATGCGCCTCGTCGCCCGCGGGTGCGCGTCCGTCCGCGGATGCGCCTCGTCGCCCGCGGGTGCGCGTCCGTCCGCGGATGCGCCTCGTCGCCCGCGGGTGCGCGTCCGTCCGCGGATGCGCCTCGTCGCCCGTGGGTGCGCGTCGGTCCGCGGATGCGCCTCGTCGCCCGCGGGTGAGCGTCCGTCCGCGGATGCGCCTCGTCGCCCGCGGGTGAGCGTCCGTCCGCGGATGCGCCTCGTCGCCCGCGGGTGCGCGTCCGTCCGCGGATGCGCCTCGTCGCCCGCGGGTGCGCGTCCGTCGGCGGAAGTCGCCGCGGTGGTCGCGTCCGCCTTCGGCGGCGGAATCCGCCGCGGTGGTCGCGTCCGCCCTCGTCGGCGGAATCCGCCGCGGTGGTCGCGTCCGCCCTCGTCGGCGGAATCCGCCGCGGTGGTCGCGTCCGCACTCGTCGGCGGAATCCGCCGCGGTGGTCGCGTCCGCCCTCGTCGGCGGAATCCGCCGCGGTGGTCGCGTCCGCCCTCGTCGGCGGAATCCGCCGCGGTGGTCACGTCCGCCCTCGTCGGCGGAATCCGCCGCGGTGGTCGCGTCCGCCCTCGTCGGCGGAATCCGCCGCGGTGGTCGCGTCCGCCCTCGTCGGCGGGATGCGCCGCGGCGATCGCGTCCGCCCTCGTTGGCGGGATGCGCCGCGGTGAGGGAGGGGAGGGGAGGGGGGAAGGAAGCGGGCTGCCGGACGTAACTTGTGCGGGGGAGGCACGGGAGAGTGCGTGAGTACGAGGGGGGAGGGGGGCCGTGAAGGCGTAATAGCGCAACTTAGGCGCGATGAGCGGCAAAGAGCCGTGGGAGAGAGAGGGGGCATGATACGGCACGCGTTAAGTGTGGTCCTTAGGATCGAGAGACGGTGTTAACCGTTGTAGCTCTGATTACCATGTGAGAAAAAGTGAGAAAGAACCATTGATGATATTAGGAATAGAGGGGGTATACATAGTTGTGCTAGGAGGGATGGTTTGGTTGGGGACCTAGCCAACATTATTGGCCCCCCACCAATAACTTGGGTTGAGGACTTATTGGGGGGACCAATAATGTTGACCAAAGGTGGTTCAACATTATTGGGGGGCCAGTAATTCCCAACCCAACCTTGGGGGCCAAATAATTGGACCAACTATTGAGTTCCAACCCCAACTAGGGTTAGCCCTAGTTCTACACCCAAACTACATTTGGGTGTCTACCTCTAGCCGTAGCGTATAGAATAGATGCAGGTTACAAGTGAGGATGGGATTCTAACAGGGTGGTGTGATGAGAAGACAGGGAGGTGTGATGGGGAGGCAGGGTGGTGTGACGAGAAGACAGGGAGGTGTGATGGGGAGGCAGGGTGGTGTGACGAGAAGACAGGGAGGTGTGATGGGGAGGCAGGGTGGTGTGACGTGAAGACAGGGAGGTGTGATGGGGAGGCAGGGTGGTGTGACGAGAAGACAGGGAGGTGTGATGGGGAGGCAGGGTGGTGTGACGAGAAGACAGGGAGGTGTGATGGGGAGGCAGGCTGGTGTGACGAGAAGACAGGGAGGTGTGATGGGGAGGCAGGGTGGTGTGACGAGAAGACAGGGAGGTGTGATGGGGAGGCAGGGTGGTGTGACGAGAAGACAGGGAGGTGTGATGGGGAGGCAGGGTGGTGTGACGAGAAGACAGGGAGGTGTGATGGGGAGGCAGGGTGGTGTGACGTGAAGACAGGGAGGTGTGATGGGGAGGCAGGGTGGTGTGACGAGAAGACAGGGAGGTGTGATGGGGAGGCAGGGTGGTGTGACGAGAAGACAGGGAGGTGTGATGGGGAGGCAGGGTGGTGTGACGAGAAGACAGGGAGGTGTGATGGGGAGGCAGGGTGGTGTGACGTGAAGACAGGGAGGTGTGATGGGGAGGCAGGGTGGTGTGACGAGAAGACAGGGAGGTGTGATGGGGAGGCAGGGTGGTGTGACGAGAAGACAGGGAGGTGTGATGGGGAGGCAGGGTGGTGTGACGAGAAGACAGGGAGGTGTGATGGGGAGGCAGGGTGGTGTGACGAGAAGACAGGGAGGTGTGATGGGGAGGCAGGGTGGTGTGACGAGAAGACAGGGAGGTGTGATGGGGAGGCAGGGTGGTGTGACGAGAAGACAGGGAGGTGTGATGGGGAGGCAGGGTGGTGTGACGTGAAGACAGGGAGGTGTGATGGGGAGGCAGGGTGGTGTGACGAGAAGACAGGGAGGTGTGATGGGGAGGCAGGGTGGTGTGACGAGAAGACAGGGAGGTGTGATGGGGAGGCAGGGTGGTGTGACGAGAAGACAGGGAGGTGTGATGGGGAGGCAGGGTGGTGTGACGAGAAGACAGGGAGGTGTGATGGGGAGGAAGGGTGGTGTGACGAGAAGACAGGGAGGTGTGATGGGGAGGCAGGGTGGTGTGACGAGAAGACAGGGAGGTGTGATGGGGAGGCAGGGTGGTGTGACGAGAAGACAGGGAGGTGTGATGGGGAGGCAGGGTGGTGTGACGAGAAGACAGGGAGGTGTGATGGGGAGGCAGGGTGGTGTGACGAGAAGACAGGGAGGTGTGATGGGGAGGCAGGGTGGTGTGACGAGAAGACAGGGAGGTGTGATGGGGAGGCAGGGTGGTGTGACGTGAAGACAGGGAGGTGTGATGGGGAGGCAGGGTGGTGTGACGAGAAGACAGGGAGGTGTGATGGGGAGGCAGGGTGGTGTGACGAGAAGACAGGGAGGTGTGATGGGGAGGCAGGGTGGTGTGACGAGAAGACAGGGAGGTGTGATGGGGAGGAAGGGAGGTGTGACGAGAAGACAGGGAGGTGTGATGGGGAGGCAGGGAGGTGTGACGAGAAGACAGGGAGGTGTGATGGGGAGGCAGGGTGGTGTGACGAGAAGACAGGGAGGTGTGATGGGGAGGCAGGGTGGTGTGACGAGAAGACAGGGAGGTGTGATGGGGAGGCAGGGAGGTGTGACGAGAAGACAGGGAGGTGTGATGGGGAGGCAGGGTGGTGTGACGAGAAGACAGGGAGGTGTGATGGGGAGGCAGGGTGGTGTGACGAGAAGACAGGGAGGTGTGATGGGGAGGCAGGGTGGTGTGACGAGAAGACAGGGAGGTGTGACGGGGAGGCAGGGTGGTGTGACGTGAAGACAGGGAGGTGTGATGGGGAGGCAGGGTGGTGTGACGTGAAGACAGGGAGGTGTGATGGGGAGGAAGGGTGGTGTGACGTGAGGACAGGCAGGTGTGATGGGGAGGCAGGGAGGTGTGACGAGAAGACAGGGTGGTGTGACGAGAAGACAGGGAGGTGTGATGGGGAGGCAGGGTGGTGTGACGTGAAGACAGGGAGGTGTGATGGGGAGGCAGGGAGGTGTGACGAGAAGACAGGGAGGTGTGATGGGGAGGCAGGGAGGTGTGACGAGAAGACAGGGAGGTGTGATGGGGAGGCAGGGAGGTGTGACGAGAAGACAGGGAGGTGTGATGGGGACGCAGGGTGGTGTGACGTGAAGACAGGGAGGTGTGATGGGGAGGCAGGGTGGTGTGACGTGAAGACAGGGAGGTGTGATGGGGAGGCAGGGTGGTGTGACGAGAAGACAGGGAGGTGTGATGGGGAGGCAGGGTGGTGTGACGTGAAGACAGGGAGGTGTGATGGGGAGGCAGGGTGGTGTGACGAGAAGACAGGGAGGTGTGATGGGGAGGCAGGGTGGTGTGACGTGAAGACAGGGAGGTGTGATGGGGAGGCAGGGTGGTGTGACGTGAAGACAGGGAGGTGTGATGGGGAGGCAGGGTGGTGTGACGTGAAGACAGGGAGGTGTGATGGGGAGGCAGGGTGGTGTGACGTGAAGACAGGGAGGTGTGATGGGGAGGCAGGGAGGTGTGACGAGAAGACAGGGTGGTGTGACGAGAAGACAGGGAGGTGTGATGGGGAGGCAGGGTGGTGTGACGTGAAGACAGGGAGGTGTGATGGGGAGGCAGGGAGGTGTGACGAGAAAACAGGGAGGTGTGATGGGGAGGCAGGGTGGTGTGACGTGAAGACAGGGAGGTGTGATGGGGAGGCAGGGTGGTGTGACGAGAAGACAGGGAGGTGTGATGGGGAAGCAGGGTGGTGTGACGTGAAGACAGGGAGGTGTGATGGGGAGGCAGGGTGGTGTGACGTGAAGACAGGGAGGTGTGATGGGGAGGCAGGGTTTTGTGACGTGAAGACAGGGAGGTGTGATGGGGAGGCAGGGTGGTGTGACGTGAAGACAGGGAGGTGTGATGGGGAGGCAGGGAGGTGTGACGAGAAGACAGGGTGGTGTGACGAGAAGACAGGGAGGTGTGATGGGGAGGCAGGGTGGTGTGACGTGAAGACAGGGAGGTGTGATGGGGAGGCAGGGAGGTGTGACGAGAAGACAGGGAGGTGTGATGGGGAGGCAGGGAGGTGTGACGAGAAGACAGGGAGGTGTGATGGGGAGGCAGGGAGGTGTGACGAGAAGACAGGGAGGTGTGATGGGGAGGCAGGGAGGTGTGACGAGAAGACAGGGAGGTGTGATGGGGAGGCAGGGAGGTGTGACGAGAAGACAGGGAGGTGTGATGGGGAGGAAGGGTGGTGTGACGTGAAGACAGGGAGGTGTGATGGGGAGGCAGGGTGGTGTGACGAGAAGACAGGGAGGTGTGATGGGGAGGCAGGGTGGTGTGACGTGAAGACAGGGAGGTGTGATGGGGAGGCAGGGTGGTGTGACGTGAAGACAGGGAGGTGTGATGGGGAGGCAGGGTGGTGTGACGAGAAGACAGGGAGGTGTGATAGGGAGGCAGGGAGGTGTGACGAGAAGACAGGGAGGTGTGATGGGGAGGCAGGGAGGTGTGACGAGAAGACAGGGAGGTGTGATGGGGAGGCAGGGAGGTGTGACGAGAAGACAGGGAGGTGTGATGGGGAGGCAGGGAGGTGTGACGAGAAGACAGGGAGGTGTGATGGGGAGGCAGGGTGGTGTGACGAGAAGACAGGGAGGTGTGATGGGGAGGCAGGGTGGTGTGACGTGAAGACAGGGAGGTGTGATGGGGAGGCAGGGTGGTGTGACGAGAAGACAGGGAGGTGTGATGGGGAGGCAGGGTGGTGTGACGTGAAGACAGGAAGGTGTGATGGGGAGGCAGGGTGGTGTGACGTGAAGACAGGGAGGTGTGATGGGGAGGCAGGGTGGTGTGACGTGAAGACAGGGAGGTGTGATGGGGAGGCAGGGAGGTGTGACGAGAAGACAGGGTGGTGTGACGAGAAGACAGGGAGGTGTGATGGGGAGGCAGGGTGGTGTGACGTGAAGACAGGGAGGTGTGATGGGGAGGCAGGGAGGTGTGACGAGAAGACAGGGAGGTGTGATGGGGAGGCAGGGAGGTGTGACGAGAAGACAGGGAGGTGTGATGGGGAGGCAGGGTGGTGTGACGAGAAGACAGGGAGGTGTGATGGGGAGGCAGGGTGGTGTGACGTGAAGACAGGGAGGTGTGATGGGGAGGTAGGGTGGTGTGACGAGAAGACAGGGAGGTGTGATGGGGAGGCAGGGTGGTGTGACGAGAAGACAGGGAGGTGTGATGGGGAGGCAGGGTGGTGTGACGAGAAGACAGGGAGGTGTGATGGGGAGGCAGGGTGGTGTGACGAGAAGACAGGGAGGTGTGATGGGGAGGCAGGGTGGTGTGACGAGAAGACAGGGAGGTGTGATGGGGAGGAAGGGAGGTGTGACGAGAAGACAGGGAGGTGTGATGGGGACGCAGGGTGGTGTGACGTGAAGACAGGGAGGTGTGATGGGGAGGCAGGGTGGTGTGACGTGAAGACAGGGAGGTGTGATGGGGAGGCAGGGTGGTGTGACGAGAAGACAGGGAGGTGTGATGGGGAGGCAGGGTGGTGTGACGTGAAGACAGGGAGGTGTGATGGGGAGGCAGGGTGGTGTGACGAGAAGACAGGGAGGTGTGATGGGGAGGCAGGGTGGTGTGACGTGAAGACAGGGAGGTGTGATGGGGAGGCAGGGTGGTGTGACGTGAAGACAGGGAGGTGTGATGGGGAGGCAGGGTGGTGTGACGTGAAGACAGGGAGGTGTGATGGGGAGGCAGGGTGGTGTGACGTGAAGACAGGGAGGTGTGATGGGGAGGCAGGGAGGTGTGACGAGAAGACAGGGTGGTGTGACGAGAAGACAGGGAGGTGTGATGGGGAGGCAGGGTGGTGTGACGAGAAGACAGGGAGGTGTGATGGGGAGGCAGGGAGGTGTGACGAGAAGACAGGGAGGTGTGATGGGGAGGCAGGGAGGTGTGACGAGAAGACAGGGAGGTGTGATGGGGAGGAAGGGTGGTGTGACGTGAAGACAGGGAGGTGTGATGGGGAGGCAGGGAGGTGTGACGAGAAGACAGGGTGGTGTGACGAGAAGACAGGGAGGTGTGATGGGGAGGCAGGGTGGTGTGACGTGAAGACAGGGAGGTGTGATGGGGAGGCAGGGAGGTGTGACGAGAAGACAGGGAGGTGTGATGGGGAGGCAGGGAGGTGTGACGAGAAGACAGGGAGGTGTGATGGGGAGGCAGGGTGGTGTGACGTGAAGACAGGGAGGTGTGATGGGGAGGCAGGGTGGTGTGACGAGAAGACAGGGAGGTGTGATGGGGAGGCAGGGAGGTGTGACGAGAAGACAGGGAGGTGTGATGGGGAGGCAGGGTGGTGTGACGACAAGACAGGGAGGTGTGATGGGGAGGCAGGGTGGTGTGACGAGAAGACAGGGAGGTGTGATGGGGAGGCAGGGTGGTGTGACGAGAAGACAGGGAGGTGTGATGGGGAGGCAGGGTGGTGTGACGAGAAGACAGGGAGGTGTGATGGGGAGGCAGGGTGGTGTGACGAGAAGACAGGGAGGTGTGATGGGGAGGCAGGGTGGTGTGACGTGAAGACAGGGAGGTGTGATGGGGAGGTAGGGTGGTGTGACGAGAAGACAGGGAGGTGTGATGGGGAGGCAGGGTGGTGTGACGAGAAGACAGGGAGGTGTGATGGGGAGGCAGGGTGGTGTGACGAGAAGACAGGGAGGTGTGATGGGGAGGCAGGGTGGTGTGACGTGAAGACAGGGAGGTGTGATGGGGAGGCAGGGTGGTGTGACGAGAAGACAGGGAGGTGTGATGGGGAGGCAGGGTGGTGTGACGTGAAGACAGGGAGGTGTGATGGAAGAGGTGTGATGGAAGAGGTGTGATGGAAGAGGTGTGATGGAAGGCAGGGAGGGGAGAAAGGAAATACATGTGATTACAAATGAGTTAGAGGCATTTCTGGGGCAAAAGTGATGGCAGCACATGCACGGGAACTAGAGGGCACGAGGGGAGGGAAGGAAGGGAAGGGAAGGAAGGGGAGGGTAGGAAGGTAAGGGGCAGGCTAAAGAAAGGGAAAGGAATTGGAGGGATGGAGGAAGGAGAGGGCGGGAGGCGGTTGTTGGTTATAGGAAGCAGGAAGGGAGGGATGGTGGTGTGGACTGGGTGAGAATGGCAGGAAGAGTGTGTGGGCGGACGTAGCGAGTGACACGGTGGGAGAAGATTTGAAAAAGGGACGGAGGGGTGGCAACGATGGGAGAAGAGGTGAAGTGATGACATTAGATGGGGCTGTACGAGAATGGAGATGGTGGGAGGCATGACGGGGAGATGGGACGGCAGGGAGAGGTGATGGGAGGCATGAAAGGGAAGGTATGGAAAAAAAGGGGAAGGGATGGAGGGAGGGATGGTAGGGAAGAGAGATAAGGGAGCGAAGGGAGGGATGGGAGGGATTCGAGGGAAGGGAGGGAAGGGACGGAAGGCAGGGAAGAAAGATAAGGGAGGGATGGGAGGGATGGACGGTAAGGGAAGGATGAAAGGAGGGAAGGGAGAGAAGGCAGGGAAGGGAGGGAAGGGAGAGAAGGCAGGGAAGGGAGGGAAGGGAGAGAAGGCAGGGAAGGGAGGGAAGGGAGGTAAGGAGGGATGTCGAGGCGAAAGAAGGGGGCAGGGAAGGAATGGGAAGAACGGGGGGAAAAGTGGGTGATTGGGGAATGGTTGGAGTATCATGTGACGACTCTCCTGGTGTGAAATCACGATGCATGATGCCAGCGGTTCCCAAGCGCCTAACTCTTCCACACTCGCAGCAGCGGAGTGGCGGTGGCCAGAAGGACACGACACGAATCAGGAACGAAGGGGACGGGGCAGGGATGGGGCGGAAGGGGGAAGCATGGGACGGACGGGGGAAAAGGGGAGATGCGGGTAGGAAGGAAGATGGAAGGAGAAGGTGTTAGACGGAGGGAGGGTGGAAGGGGAAGGATGGGGATGGAAGGAGGGAATAGACGACCTAGAAAAGTGGAAGTGAGGTAGGAGAGTTGAAGAGGGAGGTAGCTTCCATGGTGAAGACGGAAGTGGAGTTTGAAAGACGGGTAGGGGAGATTGGGAGGCAAGAAGGGGGATTGGGAGGCAAGAAGGGAGATTGGGAGGCAAGAAGGGGGATTGGGAGGCAAGAAGGGGGATTGGGAGGCAAGAAGGGAGATTGGGAGGCAAGAAGGGGGATTGGGAGGCAAGAAGGGGGATTGGGAGGCAAGAAGGGGGATTGGCTGGCAAGAAGGGGGATTGGGAGGCAAGAAGGGGGATTGGGAGGCCAGAAGGGGGATTGGGAGGCAAGAAGGGGGATTGGGAGGCAAGAAGGGGGATTGGGAGGCCAGAAGGGGGATTGGCTGGCAAGAAGGGGGATTGGGAGGCAAGAAGGGGGATTGGGAGGCAAGAAGGGGGATTGGCTGGCAAGAAGGGGGATTGGGAGGCAAGAAGGGGGATTGGGAGGCAAGAAGGGGGATTGGGAGGCAAGAAGGGGGATTGGGAGGCCAGAAGGGGGATTGGGAGGCAAGAAGGGGGATTGGGAGGCCAGAAGGGGGATTGGGAGGCAAGAAGGGGGATTGGGAGGCAAGAAGGGGGATTGGGAGGCCAGAAGGGGGATTGGGAGGCAAGAAGGGGGATTGGGAGGCCAGAAGGGGGATTGGCTGGCAAGAAGGGGGATTGGGAGGCAAGAAGGGGGATTGGGAGGCAGGGAGGGAAGGGAGATGCAGGGAGAGAAAGGAGAGGAGGGAGGGAAGGGAGAAAATGGCGGGAAGGGAGAGAAGGGAGGGAAACCGAAGAAGGGAGGGAAGGGAGAAAAGGGAGGGAAGGGAGAGACGGGAGGGAAGGGAGAGAAGGGAGGGAAGGGAGAGAAGGGAGAGAAGGGAGGGCAGGGAGAGAAGGGAGAGAAGGGAGGGAAGGGAGACAACGGCAGGACGGGAGAGAAGGGAAATCGCGGGGAGGTAAGAGAGGGAAGGGAGGGAAGGGAGGAAAGGGAGGGAGGGGACGGAAGGGACTGCAGGAAGAGACCATGGATGGGAAAAAAGGGAGGGGAGGGAGTGAAGGGAGGAAAGGGAGAGAATGGGAGAATGAGAGGCGGAGATGTGGATGCAGGGACGGGGAGAGGGGGATGCAGGGATGGGGAGAGGGGGATGCAGGGATGGGGAGAAGGGGATGCAGGGACGGGGAGAAGGGGATGCAGGGACGGGGAGAAGGGGATGCAGAGACGGGGAGAGGGGGATGCAGGGATGGGGAGAGGGGGATGCAGGGATGGGGAGAGGGGGATGCAGGGATGGGGAGAGGGGGATGCAGGGATGGGGAGAGGGGGATGCAGGGATGGGGAGAGGGGGATGCAGGGATGGGGAGAGGGGGATGCAGGGATGGGGAGAGGGGTGTGCATGGATGGGCAGAGGGAAACGAGGGAAGGGATGGGGAAAGGGGAGAACGGGATGCGGAAAGGGGAGAACGGGATGCGGAAAGGGGAGAACGGGATGGGGAAAGGGGAGAACAGGATGGGGAAAGGGGAGAACGGGATGCGGAAAGGGGAGAACGGGATGCGGAAAGGGGAGAACGGGATGGGGAAAGGGGAGAACGGGATGCGGAAAGGGGAGAACGGGATGCGGAAAGGGGAGAACGGGATGCGGAAAGGGGAGAACGGGATGCGGAAAGGGGAGAACGGGATGCGGAAAGGGGAGAACGGGATGCGGAAAGGGGAGAACGGGATGCGGAAAGGGGAGAACGGGATGGGGAAAGGGGAGAACAGGATGCGGAAAGGGGAGAACGGGATGCGGAAAGGGGAGAACGGGATGCGAAAAGGGGAGAACGGGATGCGGAAAGGGGAGAACGGGATGGGGAAAGGGGAGAACGGGATGGGGACAGGGGAGTACGGGATGGGGAAAGGGGAGATTGGGAGGCGAATAAGGGCCCGCATGTTGTGGCGCGGTGCGCGTGATCAAGGTGGCGTGCGGAGGCAACGTGAGGAGGCGAGGTGATGTTGCCGTGTGCGGATTAGCGTCACTTGCGACGCCGTGACGGGCGTTGTGGCGATGCTACGACGCGATGTCCGGCGAGGCAGCGTGTTGGGACTCGAGGGAGGCGATTTGCGGCGAGCGGACCATGCAAAAGAGGGATCTCCTAGGCTGCGTGGGGAGGCAAGGAGACCACTACGGAAAGCGCGGCGAAGCGGCGAGGAGAGGCGAAGTGAGGGGCAGCGGAGGAAGGCGTGACAAGATTCCACATTATGCGGGCTCGTCGGTTCGCGCGCGTGATCGCAACCCTACGAGTGGCCAGGCCGGCTGCCACACTAAACGTACGATTGACGCGACGGCGACGCCCGCCACGACTAAACGACTGGATGTGTATTCGTCGACTTTGGCGCCGGCGAGCCTAAGGGATCTGCTACGGTCGCGTCGCACTTCAATGCTATTGGTATGTTTTTTCCTAATTGTGCAGGCTGAGAACGCTACGAGAGTGCGGTGGTGCGGGGGGAATTGAATTAGTATACTTTTGGCATCTATAAAGTTTTGACACTCGACTGGGCTCACTGGGTGGGGAGGGAACCCCTCGTTTAGAGGAGAAGTGAGGAGTTGGGTGGCACGTAATTCGGTAACCACCATGTACCTTTTATAAACTTTTGGCACTGGCCCTGCCAAATGTATACTGCTGCTTTAATAAGCCCTTTTATCCCAATGGTCTAGTGGTTGGGATTCTGACAAACGTGAGGGGTAATTTGTAGAAATCAGATGCTGTGCGCACTCTCAAGCGAGTTACGAATGCTGATATTAGGAATAGTGTGTTCAGAGATATCATATGAGGCACGTAAATGAACACATCTATGTGATACATTCACAGCAGCTCATACTATCTCCCAGTCCTATCGCCTCTGGAAGTTGAGATTGCGGAGGGCAATGGTGAACACGCAGAAGAAGAGGCAGGAGAAGCCGAGCAGAGCAACAGTGACGTAGCCCAGCCAGTCGTGGGAGAAGCCGTAGTAAAGCTGGATGAACTGCGATACTGTCTGAGGTGGCGTGCCTGGTGGACCCACCACCAGCGTCGTTCCATCTCCCAACTGTAACGCAACAAGAGATGAAACGATGAATACATGAAGATAAGTTTGGGTTAATACAGGGAACTAGCTGGCAGGGGAGGGGGAGTAGTTGGGTAAGAAGGTAAACTTGAGGGCAAAAAGGAAGAGGGTGTACCTGGGAAGCAGCAAGGCCGTAGAGGGTCCAGACAACAGGGTTTAACCAATACAGCCATTTCCAGTACATTGGGATGTTCTGTTGAGTGTGTCAAGGGGGTGGGGTGGGGGGGGAGAGAGGAATCAGCAAGACAGTAGGACTCGAAGGGGCCAATCAACAAGGCTGGCTTCATGCAGCCCATGATTCAGCCGACGAAAGACTAAAGAACAGAGCGCAACAAACAGTTTTGAGGCGCCTCAAAACTAGAGCGCAGCGAACAGTTTTGAGGCGCCTCAAAACTAGAGCGCAACGAACAGTTTTGAGGCACCTCAAAACTAGAGCGCAACGAACAGTTTTGAGGCGCCTCAAAACTAGAGCGCAACGAACACTGCACACTGCACTCACCGGCTGCGGCAGGAGGAAGCCGCAGAGAAGATTCCAGAAGGAGTAGATGAAGGCAGAGAGCAGCGTTCCTAGCCCTTCAGCGGGCGTGATGGCACTCGACATCATGCCGAAACACGTGAAGTAGAGCAGTGTGAGGAACTGGAACAGCAGGAACAGCAGGAATTTCCCAAGCGTCCACTCAAACTGAATCATAGAGTATGTTATTAACGAGTACACCACAGCCTGAATCAACAGGTATGGCTGCTCAATTGCTCCTTGCGCGAGCGCGTACGGGATAGCTCCATACATCCCGGCGCCCCGCTCCCGGTAGTAAATACTCCTTTCCACGGCCAGCATCGGCTGGATTGACGCAAGATTGCTCCACCCGAGGAAAAGCGCTGCGGTGTAGAGAGCACCCATGACGTTCACAATCTGCTGCGGCGTGTCGCGGGTGTTGCCGAAGCCAAAGAAGACGCCACCGATGAGGAGAGCCATGAAGAAGGAGAAGAAGAAGCGAGCGCCGTTGTAGTCGGGCATGCGCCAGTACATGAGGTGCCGCTTCCACAGATGGGTCGCGAACTGCGAGAGCGGCGTGGTGGGGTGCTGCGTTGGAAAGAAGAGGTCCGGCTCGCCGTCGGGAGGGATGCTGGACTCCTGGATGAGCGACTCTATGGCCCTGTTGGTGTGGGGGGCTAGGGGGAGCAGAGTGTCGGGGGGGGGAGGGAGGGGGGGGGGAGAGGGTATTTGAGGAAGCGAGTGAGGCATGCTGGATTTCTCGATGAGTGACTCTATGGCCCTGATGGTGTGGGGGGCAAGGGAGAGAGGCAGGGGATAGTGGGGAGAAGAGTGTACGGGAGAGAAGATGTACAAAAGAGGGGGAAAGAGCTGCATGTGGCACGCGCATTGATCTTTGTACGAGAAATGTATGCCCATGATTGATGGTTGAATCAGTGAGGCTGTTGGGCCTGCAGATTGTTTCTGACGACTCTCAGCACCAACCAATGACCTGCTGTGAAGCACGAGGTTGAGTAATATATCAGCAGCTCTTTCTCCCGTCAGAGAAGTTTAGTGACTCTATGTAATAGTGGGGAATAGTGGAGAAGGAGGGAGGGAATGGGAGAGAGGGGCAGGGTGGATGGAAAGGAGGAAGTATGGGGGATGGAAAGGAGGGAGTATGGGGGATGGAAAGGAGGGAGTATGGGGGATGGAAAGGAGGGAGTATGGGGGATGGAAAGGAGGGAGTATGGGGGATGGAAAGGAGGGAGGAAGTATGGGGGATGGAAAGGAGGGAGGAAGTATGGGGGATGGAAAGGAGGGAGGAAGTATGGGGGATGGAAAGGAGGGAGGAAGTATGGGGGATGGAAAGGAGGGAGGAAGTATGGGGGATGGAAAGGAGGGAGGAAGTATGGGGGATGGAAAGGAGGGAGGAAGTATGGGGGATGGAAAGGAGGGAGGAAGTATGGGGGATGGAAAGGAGGGAGGAAGTATGGGGGATGGAAAGGAGGGAGGAAGTATGGGGGATGGAAAGGAGGGAGGAAGTATGGGGGATGGAAAGGAGGGAGGAAGTATGGGGGATGGAAAGGAGGGAGGAAGTATGGGGGATGGAAAGGAGGGAGGAAGTATGGGGGATGGAAAGGAGGGAGGAAGTATGGGGGATGGAAAGGAGGGAGGAAGTATGGGGGATGGAAAGGAGGGAGGAAGTATGGGGGATGGAAAGGAGGGAGGAAGTATGGGGGATGGAAAGGAGGGAGGAAGTATGGGGGATGGAAAGGAGGGAGGAAGTATGGGGGATGGAAAGGAGGGAGGAAGTATGGGGGATGGAAAGGAGGGAGGAAGTATGGGGGATGGAAAGGAGGGAGGAAGTATGGGGGATGGAAAGGAGGGAGGAAGTATGGGGGATGGAAAGGAGGGAGGAAGTATGGGGGATGGAAAGGAGGGAGGAAGTATGGGGGATGGAAAGGAGGGAGGAAGTATGGGGGATGGAAAGGAGGGAGGAAGTATGGGGGATGGAAAGGAGGGAGGAAGTATGGGGGATGGAAAGGAGGGAGGAAGTATGGGGGATGGAAAGGAGGGAGGAAGTATGGGGGATGGAAAGGAGGGAGGAAGTATGGGGGATGGAAAGGAGGGAGGAAGTATGGGGGATGGAAAGGAGGGAGGAAGTATGGGGGATGGAAAGGAGGGAGGAAGTATGGGGGATGGAAAGGAGGGAGGAAGTATGGGGGATGGAAAAGAGGGAGGAAGTATGGGGGATGGAAAGGAGGGAGGAAGTATGGGGGATGGAAAGGAGGGAGGAAGTATGGGGGATGGAAAGGAGGAAGTATGGGGGATGGAAAGGAGGAAGTATGGGGGATGGAAAGGAGGAAGTATGGGGGATGGAAAGGAGGAAGTATGGGGGATGGAAAGGAGGGAGGAAGTATGGGGGATGGAAAGGAGGGAGGAAGTATGGGGGATGGAAAGGAGGGAGGAAGTATGGGGGATGGAAAGGAGGAAGTATGGGGGATGGAAAGGAGGAAGTATGGGGGATGGAAAGGAGGAAGTATGGGGGATGGAAAGGAAGGAGGAAGTATGGGGGATGGAAAGGAGGGAGGAATTATGGGGGATGGAAAGGAGGGAGGAATTATGGGGGATGGAAAGGAGGAAGTATGGGGGATGGAAAGGAGGGAGGAAGTATGGGGGATGGAAAGGAGGAAGTATGGGGGATGGAAAGGAAGGAGGAAGTATGGGGGATGGAAAGGAGGAAGTATGGGGGATGGAAAGGAGGAAGTATGGGGGATGGAAAGGAGGAAGTATGGGGGATGGAAAGGAGGAAGTATGGGGGATGGAAAGGAGGAAGTATGGGGGATGGAAAGGAGGAAGTATGGGGGATGGAAAGGAGGAAGTATGGGGGATGGAAAGGAGGAAGTATGGGGGATGGAAAGGAAGGAGGAAGTATGGGGGATGGAAAGGAAGGAGGAAGTATGGGGGATGGAAAGGAAGGAGGAAGTATGGGGGATGGAAAGGAGGAAGTATGGGGGATGGAAAGGAGGAAGTATGGGGGATGGAAAGGAAGGAGGAAGTATGGGGGATGGAAAGGAAGGAGGAAGTATGGGGGAAGGAAAGGAGGAAGTATGGGGGATGGAAAGGAGGGAGTATGGGGGATGGAAAGGAGGGAGTATGGGGGATGGAAAGGAGGGAGTATGGGGGATGGAAAGGAGGGAGAAGTATGGGGATGGAAAGGAGGGAGTATGGGGGATGGAAAGGAGGGAAGTATGGGGGATGGAAAGGAGGGAGAAGTATGGGGGATGGAAAGGAGGGAGAAGTATGGGGGATGGAAAGGAGGGAGAAGTATGGGGGATGGAAAGGAGGGAGAAGTATGGGGGATGGAAAGGAGGGAGAAGTATGGGGGATGGAAAGGAGGGAGAAGTATGGGGGATGGAAAGGAGGGAGAAGTATGGGGGATGGAAAGGAGGGAGAAGTATGGGGGATGGAAAGGAGGGAGAAGTATGGGGGATGGAAAGGAGGGAGAAGTATGGGGGATGGAAAGGAGGGAGAAGTATGGGGGATGGAAAGGAGGGAGAAGTATGGGGGATGGAAAGGAGGGAGAAGTATGGGGGATGGAAAGGAGGGAGAAGTATGGGGGATGGAAAGGAGGGAGAAGTATGGGGGATGGAAAGGAGGGAGAAGTATGGGGATGGAAAGGAGGGAGAAGTATGGGGGATGGAAAGGAGGGAGAAGTATGGGGGATGGAAAGGAGGGAGAAGTATGGGGGATGGAAAGGAGGGAGAAGTATGGGGGATGGAAAGGAGGGAGAAGTATGGGGGATGGAAAGGAGGGAGAAGTATGGGGGATGGAAAGGAGGGAGAAGTATGGGGGATGGAAAGGAGGGAGAAGTATGGGGGATGGAAAGGAGGGAGAAGTATGGGGGATGGAAAGGAGGGAGAAGTATGGGGGATGGAAAGGAGGGAGAAGTATGGGGGATGGAAAGGAGGGAGAAGTATGGGGGATGGAAAGGAGGGAGAAGTATGGGGGATGGAAAGGAGGGAGAAGTATGGGGGATGGAAAGGAGGGAGAAGTATGGGGGATGGAAAGGAGGGAGAAGTATGGGGGATGGAAAGGAGGGAGAAGTATGGGGGATGGAAAGGAGGGAGAAGTATGGGGGATGGAAAGGAGGGAGAAGTATGGGGGATGGAAAGGAGGGAGAAGTATGGGGGATGGAAAGGAGGGAGAAGAAGTATGGGGGATGGAAAGGAGGGAGAAGTATGGGGGATGGAAAGGAGGGAGAAGTATGGGGGATGGAAAGGAGGGAGAAGTATGGGGGATGGAAAGGAGGGAGAAGTATGGGGGATGGAAAGGAGGGAGAAGTATGGGGGATGGAAAGGAGGGAGAAGTATGGGGGATGGAAAGGAGGGAGAAGTATGGGGGATGGAAAGGAGGGAGAAGTATGGGGGATGGAAAGGAGGGAGAAGTATGGGGGATGGAAAGGAGGGAGAAGTATGGGGATGGAAAGGAGGGAGAAGAAGTATGGGGGATGGAAAGGAGGGAGAAGTATGGGGGATGGAAAGGAGGGAGAAGTATGGGGGATGGAAAGGAGGGAGAAGTATGGGGGATGGAAAGGAGGGAGAAGTATGGGGGATGGAAAGGAGGGAGAAGTATGGGGGATGGAAAGGAGGGAGAAGTATGGGGGATGGAAAGGAGGGAGAAGAAGTATGGGGGATGGAAAGGAGGGAGAAGTATGGGGGATGGAAAGGAGGGAGAAGTATGGGGGATGGAAAGGAGGGAGAAGTATGGGGGATGGAAAGGAGGGAGAAGTGGGAGTATGGGGGATGGAAAGGAGGGAGTATGGGGGATGGAAAGGAGGAAGTATGGGGGATGGAATGGAAAGGAGGGAGTATGGGGGATGGAAAGGAGGAAGTATGGGGGATGGAAAGGAGGAAGTATGGGGGATGGAAAGGAGGAAGTATGGGGGATGGAAAGGAGGAAGTATGGGGGATGGAAAGGAGGAAGTATGGGGGATGGAAGGATGGAATGGAAAGGAGGGAGTATGGGGGATGGAAAGGAGGAAGTATGGGGGATGGAAAGGAGGAAGTATGGGGGATGGAAAGGAGGAAGTATGGGGGATGGAAAGGAGGAAGTATGGGGGATGGAAAGGAGGAAGTATGGGGGATGGAAAGGAGGGAGAAGTATGGGGGATGGAAAGGAGGGAGAAGTGGGAGTATGGGGGATGGAAAGGAGGGAGTATGGGGGATGGAAAGGAGGGAGTATGGGGGATGGAAAGGAGGAAGTATGGGGGATGGAAAGGAGGAAGTATGGGGATGGAAAGGAGGAAGTATGGGGGATGGAAAGGAGGAAGTATGGGGGATGGAAAGGAGGAAGTATGGGGGATGGAAAGGAGGGAGTATGGGGGATGGAAAGGAGGAAGTATGGGGGATGGAAAGGAGGGAGTATGGGGGATGGAAAGGAGGGAGTATGGGGGATGGAAAGGAGGGAGTATGGGGGATGGAAAGGAGGGAGTATGGGGGATGGAAAGGAGGGAGTATGGGGGATGGAAAGGAGGGAGTATGGGGGATGGAAAGGAGGGAGTATGGGGGATGGAAAGGAGGGAGTATGGGGGATGGAAAGGAGGGAGTATGGGGGATGGAAAGGAGGGAGTATGGGGGATGGAAAGGAGGGAGTATGGGGGATGGAAAGGAGGGAGTATGGGGGATGGAAAGGAGGGAGTATGGGGGATGGAAAGGAGGGAGTATGGGGGATGGAAAGGAGGGAGTATGGGGGATGGAAAGGAGGGAGTATGGGGGATGGAAAGGAGGGAGTATGGGGGATGGAAAGGAGGGAGTATGGGGGATGGAAAGGAGGCAGTATGGGGGATGGAAAGGAGGGCAGTATGGGGATGGAAAGGAGGGAGTATGGGGGATGGAAAGGAGGGAGTATGGGGGATGGAAAGGAGGGAGTATGGGGGATGGAAAGGAGGGAGTATGGGGGATGGAAAGGAGGGAGTATGGGGGATGGAAAGGAGGGAGTATGGGGGATGGAAAGGAGGGAGTATGGGGGATGGAAAGGAGGGAGTATGGGGGATGGAAAGGAGGGAGTATGGGGGATGGAAAGGAGGGAGTATGGGGGATGGAAAGGAGGGAGTATGGGGGATGGAAAGGAGGGAGTATGGGGGATGGAAAGGAGGGAGTATGGGGGATGGAAAGGAGGGAGTATGGGGGATGGAAAGGAGGGAGTATGGGGGATGGAAAGGAGGGAGTATGGGGGATGGAAAGGAGGGAGTATGGGGGATGGAAAGGAGGAGTATGGGGGATGGAAAGGAGGGAGTATGGGGGATGGAAAGGAGGGAGTATGGGGGATGGAAAGGAGGGAGTATGGGGGATGGAAAGGAGGGAGTATGGGGGATGGAAAGGAGGGAGTATGGGGGATGGAAAGGAGGGAGTATGGGGGATGGAAAGGAGGGAGTGTGGGGGATGGAAAGGAGGGAGTGTGGGGGATGGAAAGGAGGGAGTGTGGGGGATGGAAAGGAGGGAGTGTGGGGGATGGAAAGGAGGGAGTGTGGGGGATGGAAAGGAGGGAGTGTGGGGGATGGAAAGGAGGGAGTGTGGGGGATGGAAAGGAGGGAGTGTGGGGGATGGAAAGGAGGGAGTATGGGGGATGGAAAGGAGGGAGTGTGGGGGATGGAAAGGAGGGAGTATGGGGGATGGAAAGGAGGGAGTGTGGGGGATGGAAAGGAGGGAGTATGGGGGATGGAAAGGAGGGAGTATGGGGGATGGAAAGGAGGGAGTATGGGGGATGGAAAGGAGGGAGTAAGTGGGATGGAAAGGAGGGAGTGTGGGGGATGGAAAGGAGGGAGTATGGGGGATGGAAAGGAGGGAGTGTGGGGGATGGAAAGGAGGGAGTGTGGGGGATGGAAAGGAGGGAGTGTGGGGGATGGAAAGGAGGGAGTGTGGGGGATGGAAAGGAGGGAGTATGGGGGATGGAAAGGAGGGAGTATGGGGGATGGAAAGGAGGGAGTATGGGGGATGGAAAGGAGGAAGTGTGGGGGATGGAAAGGAGGAAGTATGGGGGATGGAAAGGAGGGAGTATGGGGGATGGAAAGGAGGGAGTGCGGGGGATGGAAAGGAGGGAGTATGGGGGATGGAAAGGAGGGAGTGTGGGGGATGGAAAGGAGGGAGTGTGGGGGATGGAAAGGAGGGAGTATGGGGGATTGAAAGGAGGGAGTATGGGGGATGGAAAGGAGGGAGTATGGGGGATGGAAAGGAGGAAGTGTGGGGGATGGAAAGGAGGAAGTATGGGGGATGGAAAGGAGGAAGTGTGGGGGATGGAAAGGAGGAAGTATGGGGGATGGTGGGGGATGGAAAGGAGGAAGTATGGGGGATGGAAAGGAGGGAGTATGGGGGATGGAAAGGAGGAAGTATGGGGGATGGAAAGGAGGGAGTATGGGGGATGGAAAGGAGGAAGTATGGGGGATGGAAAGGAGGCAGTATGGGGGATGGAAAGGAGGAAGTATGGGGGATGGAAAGGAGGGAGTATGGGGGATGGAAAGGAGGGAGTATGGGGGATGGAAAGGAGGAAGTATGGGGGATGGAAAGGAGGGAGTATGGGGGATGGGAAGGAGGAAGTATGGGGGATGGAAAGGAGGGAGTATGGGGGATGGAAAGGAGGAAGTATGGGGGATGGAAAGGAGGGAGTGTGGGGGATGGAAAGGAGGAAGTATGGGGGATGGAAAGGAGGAAGTATGGGGGATGGAAAGGAGGGGGAGTATGGGGGATGGAAAGGAGGCAGTATGGGGCATGGAAAGGAGGGAGTATGGGGGATGGAAAGGAGGGAGTATGGGGGATGGAAAGGAGGAAGTATGGGGGATGGAAAGGAGGAAGTATGGGGGATGGAAAGGAGGCAGTGTGGGGGATGGAAAGGAGGGAGTATGGGGGATGGAAAGGAGGGAGTATGGGGGATGGAAAGGAGGGAGTATGGGGGATGGAAAGGAGGAAGTATGGGGGATGGAAAGGAGGAAGTATGGGGGATGGAAAGGAGGAAGTATGGGGGATGGAAAGGAGGGGGAGTATGGGGGATGGAAAGGAGGGAGTGGAAAGGAGGCAGTATGGGGGATGGAAAGGAGGGAGTATGGGGGATGGAAAGGAGGGAGTATGGGGGATGGAAAGGAGGGAGTATGGTGGATGGAAAGGAGGGAGTATGGGGGATGGAAAGGAGGGAGTGGAAAGGAGGGAGTATGGGGGATGGAAAGGAGGGAGTGTGGGGGATGGAAAGGAGGGAGTATGGGGGATGGAAAGGAGGGAGTGTGGGGGATGGAAAGGAGGGAGTATGGGGGATGGAAAGGAGGGAGTGTGGGGGATGGAAAGGAGGGAGTGTGGGGGATGGAAAGGAGGGAGTGTGGGGGATGGAAAGGAGGGAGTGTGGGGGATGGAAAGGAGGGAGTGTGGGGGATGGAAAGGAGGGAGTGTGGGGGATGGAAAGGAGGGAGTGTGGGGGATGGAAAAGAGGGAGTATGGGGGATGGAAAGGAGGGAGTATGGGGGATGGAAAGGAGGGAGTATGGGGGATGGAAAGGAGGGAGTCTGGGGGATGGAAAGGAGGGAGTCTGGGGGATGGAAAGGAGGGAGTATGGGGGATGGAAAGGAGGGAGTATGGGGGATGGAAAGGAGGGAGTATGGGGGATGGAAAGGAGGGAGTCTGGGGGATGGAAAGGAGGGAGTCTGGGGGATGGAAAGGAGGGAGTCTGGGGGATGGAAAGGAGGGAGTATGGGGGATGGAAAGGAGGGAGTATGGGGGATGGAAAGGAGGGAGTATGGGGGATGGAAAGGAGGGAGTATGGGGGATGGAAAGGAGGGAGTATGGGGGATGGAAAGGAGGGAGTATGGGGGATGGAAAGGAGGGAGTATGGGGGATGGAAAAGAGGGAGTATGGGGGATGGAAAGGAGGGAGTATGGGGGATGGAAAGGAGGGAGTATGGGGGATGGAAAGGAGGGAGTATGGGGGATGGAAAGGAGGGAGTATGGGGGATGGAAAGGAGGGAGTATGGGGGATGGAAAGGAGGGAGTATGGGGGATGGAAAGGAGGGAGTATGGGGGATGGAAAGGAGGGAGTATGGGGGATGGAAAGGAGGGAGTATGGGGGATGGAAAGGAGGGAGTATGGGGGATGGAAAGGAGGGAGTATGGGGGATGGAAAGGAGGGAGTATGGGGGATGGAAAGGAGGGAGTATGGGGGATGGAAAGGAGGAGTATGGGGGATGGAAAGGAGGGAGTATGGGGATGGAAAGGAGGGAGTAAGTATGGGGGATGGGAAGGAGGGAGAAGTATGGGGGATGGAAAGGAGGAAGTATGGGGGATGGAAAGGAGGAAATATGGGGGATGGAAAGGAGGAAGTATGGGGGATGGAAAGGAGGGAGAAGTATGGGGGATGGAAAGGAGGGAGAAGTATGGGGGATGGAAAGGAGGAAGTATGGGGGATGGAAAGGAGGGAGAAGTATGGGGGATGGAAAGGAGGGAGAAGTATGGGGGATGGAAAGGAGGGAGAAGTATGGGGGATGGAAAGGAGGAAGTATGGGGGATGGAAAGGAGGAAGTATGGGGGATGGAAAGGAGGGAGAAGTATGGGGGATGGAAAGGAGGGAGAAGTATGGGGGATGGAAAGGAGGGAGAAGTATGGGGGATGGAAAGAAGGAAGAAGTATGGGGGTTGGAAAGGAGGAAGTATGGGGGATGGAAAGGAGGGAGAAGTATGGGGGATGGAAAGGAGGGAGAAGTATGGGGGATGGAAAGGAGGGAGAAGTATGGGGGATGGAAAGGAGGGGGAAGTATGGGGGATGGAAAGGAGGAAGTATGGGGGATGGAAAGGAGGGAGAAGTATGGGGGATGGAAAGGAGGGAGTATGGGGGATGGAAAGGAGGGAGTATGGGGGATGGAAAGGAGGGAGTATGGGGGATGGAAAGGAGGGAGTATGGGGGATGGAAAGGAGGGAGTATGGGGGATGGAAAGGAGGGAGTATGGGGGATGGAAAGGAGGGAGTATGGGGGATGGAAAGGAGGGAGTATGGGGGATGGAAAGGAGGGAGTATGGGGGATGGAAAGGAGGGAGTATGGGGGATGGAAAGGAGGGAGTATGGGGGATGGAAAGGAGGGAGTATGGGGGATGGAAAGGAGGAAGTATGGGGGATGGAAAGGAGGAAGTATGGGGGATGGAAAGGAGGAAGTATGGGGGATGGAAAGGAGGAAGTATGGGGGATGGAAAGGAGGAAGTATGGGGGATGGAAAGGAGGGAGAAGTATGGGGGATGGAAAGGAGGGAGAAGTGGGAGTATGGGGGATGGAAAGGAGGGAGTATGGGGGATGGAAAGGAGGAAGTATGGGGGATGGAAAGGAGGAAGTATGGGGGATGGAAAGGAGGAAGTATGGGGGATGGAAAGGAGGAAGTATGGGGATGGAAAGGAGGAAGTATGGGGGATGGAAAGGAGGAAGTATGGGGGATGGAAAGGAGGAAGTATGGGGGATGGAAAGGAGGAAGTATGGGGGATGGAAAGGAGGAAGTATGGGGGATGGAAAGGAGGAAGTATGGGGGATGGAAAGGAGGAAGTATGGGGGATGGAAAGGAGGAAGTATGGGGGATGGAAAGGAGGGAGTATGGGGATGGAAAGGAGGGAGTATGGGGGATGGAAAGGAGGGAGTATGGGGGATGGAAAGGAGGGAGTATGGGGGATGGAAAGGAGGGAGTATGGGGGATGGAAAGGAGGGAGTATGGGGGATGGAAAGGAGGGAGTATGGGGGATGGAAAGGAGGGAGTATGGGGGATGGAAAGGAGGGAGTATGGGGGATGGAAAGGAGGGAGTATGGGGGATGGAAAGGAGGGAGTATGGGGGATGGAAAGGAGGGAGTATGGGGGATGGAAAGGAGGGAGTATGGGGGATGGAAAGGAGGGAGTATGGGGGATGGAAAGGAGGGAGTATGGGGGATGGAAAGGAGGGAGTATGGGGGATGGAAAGGAGGGAGTATGGGGGATGGAAAGGAGGGAGTATGGGGGATGGAAAGGAGGGAGTATGGGGGATGGAAAGGAGGGAGTATGGGGGATGGAAAGGAGGAGTATGGGGGATGGAAAGGAGGGAGTATGGGGATGGAAAGGAGGGAGTATGGGGGATGGAAAGGAGGGAGTATGGGGGATGGAAAGGAGGGAGTATGGGGGATGGAAAGGAGGGAGTATGGGGGATGGAAAGGAGGGAGTATGGGGGATGGAAAGGAGGGAGTATGGGGGATGGAAAGGAGGGAGTATGGGGGATGGAAAGGAGGGAGTATGGGGGATGGAAAGGAGGGAGTATGGGGGATGGAAAGGAGGGAGTATGGGGGATGGAAAGGAGGGAGTATGGGGGATGGAAAGGAGGGAGTATGGGGGATGGAAAGGAGGGAGTATGGGGGATGGAAAGGAGGGAGTATGGGGGATGGAAAGGAGGGAGTATGGGGGATGGAAAGGAGGGAGTATGGGGGATGGAAAGGAGGGAGTGTGGGGGATGGAAAGGAGGGAGTGTGGGGGATGGAAAGGAGGGAGTATGGGGGATGGAAAGGAGGGAGTATGGGGGATGGAAAGGAGGGAGTATGGGGGATGGAAAGGAGGGAGTATGGGGGATGGAAAGGAGGGAGTATGGGGGATGGAAAGGAGGGAGTATGGGGGATGGAAAGGAGGGAGTGTGGGGGATGGAAAGGAGGGAGTGTGGGGGATGGAAAGGAGGGAGTGTGGGGGATGGAAAGGAGGGAGTGTGGGGGATGGAAGGAGGAGTGTGGGGATGGAAAGGAGGGAGTGTGGGGGATGGAAAGGAGGGAGTGTGGGGGATGGAAAGGAGGGAGTGTGGGGGATGGAAAGGAGGGAGTGTGGGGGATGGAAAGGAGGGAGTGTGGGGGATGGAAAGGAGGGAGTGTGGGGGATGGAAAGGAGGGAGTATGGGGGATGGAAAGGAGGGAGTGTGGGGGATGGAAAGGAGGGAGTATGGGGGATGGAAAGGAGGGAGTGTGGGGGATGGAAAGGAGGGAGTATGGGGGATGGAAAGGAGGGAGTATGGGGGATGGAAAGGAGGGAGTATGGGGGATGGAAAGGAGGGAGTAAGTGGGATGGAAAGGAGGGAGTGTGGGGGATGGAAAGGAGGGAGTATGGGGGATGGAAAGGAGGGAGTGTGGGGATGGAAAGGAGGGAGTGTGGGGGATGGAAAGGAGGAGTGTGGGGGATGGAAAGGAGGGAGTGTGGGGGATGGAAAGGAGGGAGTGTGGGGGATGGAAAGGAGGGAGTGTGGGGGATGGAAAGGAGGGAGTGTGGGGGATGGAAAGGAGGGAGTATGGGGGATGGAAAGGAGGGAGTATGGGGGATGGAAAGGAGGGAGTATGGGGGATGGAAAGGAGGAAGTGTGGGGGATGGAAAGGAGGAAGTATGGGGGATGGAAAGGAGGGAGTATGGGGGATGGAAAGGAGGGAGTGCGGGGGATGGAAAGGAGGGAGTATGGGGGATGGAAAGGAGGGAGTGTGGGGGATGGAAAGGAGGGAGTGTGGGGGATGGAAAGGAGGGAGTATGGGGGATTGAAAGGAGGGAGTATGGGGGATGGAAAGGAGGGAGTATGGGGGATGGAAAGGAGGAAGTGTGGGGGATGGAAAGGAGGAAGTATGGGGGATGGAAAGGAGGAAGTGTGGGGGATGGAAAGGAGGAAGTATGGGGGATGGTGGGGGATGGAAAGGAGGAAGTATGGGGGATGGAAAGGAGGGAGTATGGGGGATGGAAAGGAGGAAGTATGGGGGATGGAAAGGAGGGAGTATGGGGGATGGAAAGGAGGAAGTATGGGGGATGGAAAGGAGGCAGTATGGGGGATGGAAAGGAGGAAGTATGGGGGATGGAAAGGAGGGAGTATGGGGGATGGAAAGGAGGGAGTATGGGGGATGGAAAGGAGGAAGTATGGGGGATGGAAAGGAGGGAGTATGGGGGATGGGAAGGAGGAAGTATGGGGGATGGAAAGGAGGGAGTATGGGGGATGGAAAGGAGGAAGTATGGGGGATGGAAAGGAGGGAGTGTGGGGGATGGAAAGGAGGAAGTATGGGGGATGGAAAGGAGGAAGTATGGGGGATGGAAAGGAGGGGGAGTATGGGGGATGGAAAGGAGGCAGTATGGGGCATGGAAAGGAGGGAGTATGGGGGATGGAAAGGAGGGAGTATGGGGGATGGAAAGGAGGAAGTATGGGGGATGGAAAGGAGGAAGTATGGGGGATGGAAAGGAGGCAGTGTGGGGGATGGAAAGGAGGGAGTACGGGGGATGGAAAGGAGGGAGTATGGGGGATGGAAAGGAGGGAGTATGGGGGATGGAAAGGAGGAAGTATGGGGGATGGAAAGGAGGAAGTATGGGGGATGGAAAGGAGGAAGTATGGGGGATGGAAAGGAGGGGGAGTATGGGGGATGGAAAGGAGGGAGTGGAAAGGAGGCAGTATGGGGGATGGAAAGGAGGGAGTATGGGGGATGGAAAGGAGGGAGTATGGGGGATGGAAAGGAGGGAGTATGGTGGATGGAAAGGAGGGAGTATGGGGGATGGAAAGGAGGGAGTGGAAAGGAGGGAGTATGGGGGATGGAAAGGAGGGAGTGTGGGGGATGGAAAGGAGGGAGTATGGGGGATGGAAAGGAGGGAGTGTGGGGGATGGAAAGGAGGGAGTATGGGGGATGGAAAGGAGGGAGTGTGGGGGATGGAAAGGAGGGAGTGTGGGGGATGGAAAGGAGGGAGTGTGGGGGATGGAAAGGAGGGAGTGTGGGGGATGGAAAGGAGGGAGTGTGGGGGATGGAAAGGAGGGAGTGTGGGGGATGGAAAGGAGGGAGTATGGGGGATGGAAAGGAGGGAGTATGGGGGATGGAAAGGAGGGAGTATGGGGGATGGAAAGGAGGGAGTCTGGGGGATGGAAAGGAGGGAGTCTGGGGGATGGAAAGGAGGGAGTATGGGGGATGGAAAGGAGGGAGTATGGGGGATGGAAAGGAGGGAGTATGGGGGATGGAAAGGAGGGAGTCTGGGGGATGGAAAGGAGGGAGTCTGGGGGATGGAAAGGAGGGAGTCTGGGGGATGGAAAGGAGGGAGTATGGGGATGGAAAGGAGGGAGTATGGGGGATGGAAAGGAGGGAGTATGGGGGATGGAAAGGAGGGAGTATGGGGGATGGAAAGGAGGGAGTATGGGGGATGGAAAGGAGGGAGTATGGGGGATGGAAAGGAGGGAGTATGGGGGATGGAAAAGAGGGAGTATGGGGGATGGAAAGGAGGGAGTATGGGGGATGGAAAGGAGGGAGTATGGGGGATGGAAAGGAGGGAGTATGGGGGATGGAAAGGAGGGAGTATGGGGGATGGAAAGGAGGGAGTATGGGGGATGGAAAGGAGGGAGTATGGGGGATGGAAAGGAGGGAGTATGGGGGATGGAAAGGAGGGAGTATGGGGGATGGAAAGGAGGGAGTATGGGGGATGGAAAGGAGGGAGTATGGGGGATGGAAAGGAGGGAGTATGGGGGATGGAAAGGAGGGAGTATGGGGGATGGAAAGGAGGGAGTATGGGGGATGGAAAGGAGGGAGTATGGGGGATGGAAAGGAGGGAGTATGGGGGATGGAAAGGAGGGAGTAAGTATGGGGGATGGGAAGGAGGGAAAAGTATGGGGGATGGAAAGGAGGAAGTATGGGGGATGGAAAGGAGGAAGTATGGGGGATGGAAAGGAGGAAGTATGGGGGATGGAAAGGAGGGAGAAGTATGGGGGATGGAAAGGAGGGAGAAGTATGGGGGATGGAAAGGAGGAAGTATGGGGGATGGAAAGGAGGGAGAAGTATGGGGGATGGAAAGGAGGGAGAAGTATGGGGGATGGAAAGGAGGGAGAAGTATGGGGGATGGAAAGGAGGAAGTATGGGGGATGGAAAGGAGGAAGTATGGGGGATGGAAAGGAGGGAGAAGTATGGGGGATGGAAAGGAGGGAGAAGTATGGGGGATGGAAAGGAGGGAGAAGTATGGGGGATGGAAAGAAGGAAGAAGTATGGGGGTTGGAAAGGAGGAAGTATGGGGATGGAAAGGAGGGAGAAGTATGGGGGATGGAAAGGAGGGAGAAGTATGGGGGATGGAAAGGATGGAGAAGTATGGGGGATGGAAAGGAGGGGGAAGTATGGGGATGGAAAGGAGGAAGTATGGGGGATGGAAAGGAGGGAGAAGTATGGGGGATGGAAAGGAGGGAGTATGGGGGATGGAAAGGAGGAGTATGGGGATGGAAAGGAGGGAGTATGGGGGATGGAAAGGAGGGAGTATGGGGGATGGAAAGGAGGGAGTATGGGGGATGGAAAGGAGGGAGTATGGGGGATGGAAAGGAGGGAGTATGGGGATGGAAAGGAGGGAGTATGGGGGATGGAAAGGAGGGAGTATGGGGGATGGAAAGGAGGGAGTATGGGGGATGGAAAGGAGGGAGTATGGGGGATGGAAAGGAGGGAGTATGGGGGATGGAAAGGAGGGAGTATGGGGGATGGAAAGGAGGGAGTATGGGGGATGGAAAGGAGGGAGTATGGGGGATGGAAAGGAGGGAGTATGGGGGATGGAAAGGAGGGAGTATGGGGGATGGAAAGGAGGGAGTATGGGGGATGGAAAGGAGGGAGTATGGGGGATGGAAAGGAGGGAGTATGGGGGATGGAAAGGAGGGAGTATGGGGGATGGAAAGGAGGGAGTATGGGGGATGGAAAGGAGGGAGTATGGGGGATGGAAAGGAGGGAGTATGGGGGATGGAAAGGAGGGAGTATGGGGGATGGAAAGGAGGGAGTATGGGGGATGGAAAGGAGGGAGTATGGGGGATGGAAAGGAGGGAGTATGGGGGATGGAAAGGAGGGAGTATGGGGATGGAAAGGAGGGAAGTATGGGGGATGGAAAGGAGGGAGAAGTATGGGGGATGGAAAGGAGGGAGAAGTATGGGGGATGGAAAGGAGGGAGTATGGGGGATGGAAAGGAGGGAGAAGTATGGGGGATGGAAAGGAGGGAGAAGTATGGGGGATGGAAAGGAGGGAGAAGTATGGGGGATGGAAAGGAGGGAGAAGTATGGGGGATGGAAAGGAGGGAGAAGTATGGGGGATGGAAAGGAGGGAGAAGTATGGGGGATGGAAAGGAGGGAGAAGTATGGGGGATGGAAAGGAGGGAGAAGTATGGGGGATGGAAAGGAGGGAGAAGTATGGGGGATGGAAAGGAGGGAGAAGTATGGGGGATGGAAAGGAGGGAGAAGTATGGGGGATGGAAAGGAGGGAGAAGTATGGGGGATGGAAAGGAGGGAGAAGTATGGGGATGGAAAGGAGGGAGAAGTATGGGGGATGGAAAGGAGGGAGAAGTATGGGGGATGGAAAGGAGGGAGAAGTATGGGGGATGGAAAGGAGGGAGAAGTATGGGGGATGGAAAGGAGGGAGAAGTATGGGGGATGGAAAGGAGGGAGAAGTATGGGGATGGAAAGGAGGGAGAAGTATGGGGGATGGAAAGGAGGGAGAAGTATGGGGGATGGAAAGGAGGGAGAAGTATGGGGGATGGAAAGGAGGGAGAAGTATGGGGGATGGAAAGGAGGGAGAAGTATGGGGGATGGAAAGGAGGAAGTATGGGGGATGGAAAGGAGGAAGTATGGGGGATGGAAAGGAGGAAGTATGGGGGATGGAAAGGAGGAAGTATGGGGGATGGAAAGGAGGAAGTATGGGGGATGGAAAGGAGGAAGTATGGGGGATGGAAAGGAGGAAGTATGGGGGATGGAAAGGAGGGAGAAGTATGGGGGATGGAAATGAGGGAGAAGTATGGGGGATGGAAAGGAGGAAGTATGGGGGATGGAAAGGAGGAAGTATGGGGGATGGAAAGGAGGAAGTATGGGGGATGGAAAGGAGGAAGTATGGGGGATGGAAAGGAGGGAGAAGTATGGGGGATGGAAAGGAGGAAGTATGGGGGATGGAAAGGAGGGAGAAGTATGGGGATGGAAAGGAGGGAGAAGTATGGGGGATGGAAAGGAGGAAGTATGGGGGATGGAAAGGAGGGAGAAGTATGGGGGATGGAAAGGAGGGAGAAGTATGGGGGATGGAAAGGAGGAAGTATGGGGGATGGAAAGGAGGAAGTATGGGGGATGGAAAGGAGGAAGTATGGGGGATGGAAAGGAGGGAGAAGTATGGGGGATGGAAAGGAGGGAGAAGTATGGGGGATGGAAAGGAGGAAGTATGGGGGATGGAAAGGAGGGAGAAGTATGGGGGATGGAAAGGAGGGAGAAGTATGGGGGATGGAAAGGAGGAAGTATGGGGGATGGAAAGGAGGAAGTATGGGGGATGGAAAGGAGGGAGAAGTATGGGGATGGAAAGGAGGGAGAAGTATGGGGGATGGAAAGGAGGAAGTATGGGGGATGGAAAGGAGGGAGAAGTATGGGGGATGGAAAGGAGGGAGAAGTATGGGGGATGGAAAGGAGGAAGTATGGGGGATGGAAAGGAGGAAGTATGGGGGATGGAAAGGAGGGAGAAGTATGAGGGATGGAAAGGAGGGAGAAGTATGGGGGATGGAAAGGAGGAAGTATGGGGGATGGAAAGGAGGAAGTATGGGGGATGGAAAGGAGGGAGAAGTATGGGGGATGGAAAGGAGGGAGAAGTATGGGGGATGGAAAGGAGGAAGTATGGGGGATGGAAAGGAGGAAGTATGGGGGATGGAAAGGAGGGAGAAGTATGGGGGATGGAAAGGAGGGAGAAGTATGGGGGATGGAAAGGAGGAAGTATGGGGGATGGAAAGGAGGAAGTATGGGGGATGGAAAGGAGGGAGAAGTATGGGGGATGGAAAGGAGGAAGTATGGGGGATGGAAAGGAGGAAGTATGGGGGATGGAAAGGAGGAAGTATGGGGGATGGAAAGGAGGAAGTATGGGGGATGGAAAGGAGGAAGTATGGGGGATGGAAAGGAGGAAGTATGGGGGATGGAAAGGAGGAAGTATGGGGGATGGAAAGGAGGAAGTATGGGGGATGGAAAGGAGGAAGTATGGGGGATGGAAAGGAGGAAGTATGGGGGATGGAAAGGAGGAAGTATGGGGGATGGAAAGGAGGAAGTATGGGGGATGGAAAAGAGGGAGAAGTATGGGGGATGGAAAGGAGGGAGAAGTATGGGGGATGGAAAGGAGGAAGTATGGGGGATGGAAAGGAGGAAGTATGGGGGATGGAAAGGAGGGAGAAGTATGGGGGATGGAAAGGAGGAAGTATGGGGGATGGAAAGGAGGAAGTATGGGGGATGGAAAGGAGGAAGTATGGGGGATGGAAAGGAGGAAGTATGGGGGATGGAAAGGAGGAAGTATGGGGGATGGAAAGGAGGAAGTATGGGGGATGGAAAGGAGGAAGTATGGGGGATGGAAAGGAGGAAGTATGGGGGATGGAAAGGAGGAAGTATGGGGGATGGAAAGGAGGAAGTATGGGGGATGGAAAGGAGGAAGTATGGGGGATGGAAAGGAGGAAGTATGGGGGATGGAAAGGAGGAAGTATGGGGGATGGAAAGGAGGAAGTATGGGGGATGGAAAGGAGGAAGTATGGGGGATGGAAAGGAGGAAGTATGGGGGATGGAAAGGAGGAAGTATGGGGGATGGAAAGGAGGAAGTATGGGGGATGGAAAGGAGGGAGAAGTATGGGGGATGGAAAGGAGGGAGAAGTATGGGGGATGGAAAGGAGGAAGTATGGGGGATGGAAAGGAGGAAGTATGGGGGATGGAAAGGAGGAAGTATGGGGGATGGAAAGGAGGAAGTATGGGGGATGGAAAGGAGGGAGAAGTATGGGGGATGGAAAGGAGGAAGTATGGGGGATGGAAAGGAGGGAGAAGTATGGGGGATGGAAAGGAGGGAGAAGTATGGGGGATGGAAAGGAGGAAGTATGGGGGATGGAAAGGAGGGAGAAGTATGGGGGATGGAAAGGAGGGAGAAGTATGGGGGATGGAAAGGAGGAAGTATGGGGATAGAAAGGAGGAAGTATGGGGGATGGAAAGGAGGAAGTATGGGGGATGGAAAGGAGGGAGAAGTATGGGGGATGGAAAGGAGGGAGAAGTATGGGGGATGGAAAGGAGGAAGTATGGGGGATGGAAAGGAGGGAGAAGTATGGGGGATGGAAAGGAGGGAGAAGTATGGGGGATGGAAAGGAGGAAGTATGGGGGATGGAAAGGAGGAAGTATGGGGGATGGAAAGGAGGGAGAAGTATGGGGGATGGAAAGGAGGGAGAAGTATGGGGGATGGAAAGGAGGAAGTATGGGGGATGGAAAGGAGGGAGAAGTATGGGGGATGGAAAGGAGGGAGAAGTATGGGGGATGGAAAGGAGGAAGTATGGGGGATGGAAAGGAGGAAGTATGGGGGATGGAAAGGAGGGAGAAGTATGAGGGATGGAAAGGAGGGAGAAGTATGGGGGATGGAAAGGAGGAAGTATGGGGGATGGAAAGGAGGAAGTATGGGGGATGGAAAGGAGGGAGAAGTATGGGGGATGGAAAGGAGGGAGAAGTATGGGGGATGGAAAGGAGGAAGTATGGGGGATGGAAAGGAGGAAGTATGGGGGATGGAAAGGAGGGAGAAGTATGGGGGATGGAAAGGAGGGAGAAGTATGGGGGATGGAAAGGAGGAAGTATGGGGGATGGAAAGGAGGAAGTATGGGGGATGGAAAGGAGGGAGAAGTATGGGGGATGGAAAGGAGGAAGTATGGGGGATGGAAAGGAGGAAGTATGGGGGATGGAAAGGAGGAAGTATGGGGGATGGAAAGGAGGAAGTATGGGGGATGGAAAGGAGGAAGTATGGGGGATGGAAAGGAGGAAGTATGGGGGATGGAAAGGAGGAAGTATGGGGGATGGAAAGGAGGAAGTATGGGGGATGGAAAGGAGGAAGTATGGGGGATGGAAAGGAGGAAGTATGGGGATGGAAAGGAGGAAGTATGGGGGATGGAAAGGAGGAAGTATGGGGGATGGAAAAGAGGGAGAAGTATGGGGGATGGAAAGGAGGGAGAAGTATGGGGGATGGAAAGGAGGAAGTATGGGGGATGGAAAGGAGGAAGTATGGGGGATGGAAAGGAGGGAGAAGTATGGGGGATGGAAAGGAGGAAGTATGGGGATGGAAAGGAGGAAGTATGGGGGATGGAAAGGAGGAAGTATGGGGGATGGAAAGGAGGAAGTATGGGGGATGGAAAGGAGGAAGTATGGGGGATGGAAAGGAGGAAGTATGGGGGATGGAAAGGAGGAAGTATGGGGGATGGAAAGGAGGAAGTATGGGGGATGGAAAGGAGGAAGTATGGGGGATGGAAAGGAGGAAGTATGGGGGATGGAAAGGAGGAAGTATGGGGATGGAAAGGAGGAAGTATGGGGGATGGAAAGGAGGAAGTATGGGGGATGGAAAGGAGGAAGTATGGGGGATGGAAAGGAGGAAGTATGGGGGATGGAAAGGAGGAAGTATGGGGGATGGAAAGGAGGAAGTATGGGGGATGGAAAGGAGGAAGTATGGGGGATGGAAAGGAGGAAGTATGGGGGATGGAAAGGAGGAAGTATGGGGGATGGAAAGGAGGAAGTATGGGGGATGGAAAGGAGGAAGTATGGGGGATGGAAAGGAGGAAGTATGGGGGATGGAAAGGAGGAAGTATGGGGGATGGAAAGGAGGAAGTATGGGGGATGGAAAGGAGGGAGAAGTATGGGGGATGGAAAGGAAGGAGAAGTATGGGGGATGGAAAGGAGGGAGAAGTATGGGGGATGGAAAGGAGGGAGAAGTATGGGGGATGGAAAGGAGGAAGTATGGGGGATGGAAAGGAGGGAGAAGTATGGGGGATGGAAAGGAGGGAGAAGTATGGGGGACGGAAAGGAGGAAGTATGGGGGATGGAAAGGAGGGAGAAGTATGGGGGATGGAAAGGAGGGAGAAGTATGGGGGATGGAAAGGAGGGAGAAGTATGGGGGATGGAAAGGAGGGAGAAGTATGGGGGATGGAAAGGAGGGAGAAGTATGGGGGATGGAAAGGAGGAAGTATGGGGGATGGAAAGGAGGGAGAAGTATGGGGGATGGAAAGGAGGAAGTATGGGGGATGGAAAGGAGGAAGTATGGGGGATGGAAAGGAGGAAGTATGGGGGATGGAAAGGAGGAAGTATGGGGGATGGAAAGGAGGAAGTATGGGGGATGGAAAGGAGGGAGAAGTATGGGGGATGGAAAGGAGGGAGAAGTATGGGGGATGGAAAGGAGGAAGTATGGGGGATGGAAAGGAGGAAGTATGGGGGATGGAAAGGAGGAAGTATGGGGGATGGAAAGGAGGAAGTATGGGGGATGGAAAGGAGGAGGAAGTATGGGGGATGGAAAGGAGGAAGTATGGGGGATGGAAAGGAGGAAGTATGGGGGATGGAAAGGAGGGAGAAGTATGGGGGATGGAAAGGAGGGAGAAGTATGGGGGATGGAAAGGAGGAAGTATGGGTGATGGAAAGGAGGGAGAAGTATGGGGGATGGAAAGGAGGGAGAAGTATGGGGGATGGAAGAAGTATGGGGATGGAAGGAGGAAGTATGGGGGATGGAAAGGAGGAAGTATGGGGATGGAAAGGAGGAAGTATGAGGGATGGAAAGGAGGAAGTATGGGGGATGGAAAGGAGGAAGTATGGGGGATGGAAAGGAGGAAGTATGGGGGATGGAAAGGAGGAAGTATGGGGGATGGAAAGGAGGAAGTATGGGGGATGGAAAGGAGGAAGTATGGGGGATGGAAAGGAGGAAGTATGGGGGATGGAAAGGAGGAAGTATGGGGGATGGAAAGGAGGAAGTATGGGGGATGGAAAGGAGGAAGTATGGGGGATGGAAAGGAGGAAGTATGGGGGATGGAAAGGAGGAAGTATGGGGGATGGAAAGGAGGAAGTATGGGGGATGGAAAGGAGGGAGAAGTATGGGGATGGAAAGGAGGGAGAAGTATGGGGGATGGAAAGGAGGGAGAAGTATGGGGGATGGAAAGGAGGAAGTATGGGGGATGGAAAGGAGGAAGTATGGGGGATGGAAAGGAGGGAGAAGTATGGGGGATGGAAAGGAGGGAGAAGTATGGGGGATGGAAAGGAGGAAGTATGGGGGATGGAAAGGAGGGAGAAGTATGGGGGATGGAAAGGAGGAAGTATGGGGGATGGAAAGGAGGAAGTATGGGGGATGGAAAGGAGGGAGAAGTATGGGGGATGGAAAGGAGGAAGTATGGGGGATGGAAAGGAGGAAGTATGGGGGATGGAAAGGAGGAAGTATGGGGGATGGAAAGGAGGAAGTATGGGGGATGGAAAGGAGGAAGTATGGGGGATGGAAAGGAGGAAGTATGGGGGATGGAAAGGAGGAAGTATGGGGGATGGAAAGGAGGAAGTATGGGGGATGGAAAGGAGGAAATATGGGGGATGGAAAGGAGGAAGTATGGGGGATGGAAAGGAGGAAGTATGGGGGATGGAAAGGAGGAAGTATGGGGGATGGAAAGGAGGAAGTATGGGGGATGGAAAGGAGGAAGTATGGGGGATGGAAAGGAGGAAGTATGGGGGATGGAAAGGAGGAAGTATGGGGGATGGAAAGGAGGAAGTATGGGGGATGGAAAAGAGGAAGTATGGGGGATGGAAAGGAGGAAGTATGGGGGATGGAAAGGAGGAGAAGTATGGGGGATGGAAAGGAGGGAGAAGTATGGGGGATGGAAAGGAGGGAGAAGTATGGGGGATGGAAAGGAGGGAGAAGTATGGGGGATGGAAAGGAGGAGAAGTATGGGGGATGGAAAGGAGGAAGTATGGGGGATGGAAAGGAGGAAGTATGGGGGATGGAAAGGAGGAAGTATGGGGGATGGAAAGGAGGAAGTATGGGGGATGGAAAGGAGGAGGAAGTATGGGGGATGGAAAGGAGGAAGTATGGGGGATGGAAAGGAGGAAGTATGGGGGATGGAAAGGAGGGAGAAGTATGGGGGATGGAAAGGAGGGAGAAGTATGGGGGATGGAAAGGAGGAAGTATGGGTGATGGAAAGGAGGGAGAAGTATGGGGGATGGAAAGGAGGGAGAAGTATGGGGGATGGAAAGGAGGAAGTATGGGGGATGGAAAGGAGGAAGTATGGGGGATGGAAAGGAGGAAGTATGAGGGATGGAAAGGAGGAAGTATGGGGGATGGAAAGGAGGAAGTATGGGGGATGGAAAGGAGGAAGTATGGGGGATGGAAAGGAGGAAGTATGGGGGATGGAAAGGAGGAAGTATGGGGGATGGAAAGGAGGAAGTATGGGGGATGGAAAGGAGGAAGTATGGGGGATGGAAAGGAGGAAGTATGGGGGATGGAAAGGAGGAAGTATGGGGATGGAAAGGAGGAAGTATGGGGGATGGAAAGGAGGAAGTATGGGGGATGGAAAGGAGGGAGAAGTATGGGGGATGGAAAGGAGGGAGAAGTATGGGGGATGGAAAGGAGGGAGAAGTATGGGGGATGGAAAGGAGGAAGTATGGGGGATGGAAAGGAGGAAGTATGGGGGATGGAAAGGAGGAGAAGTATGGGGGATGGAAAGGAGGGAGAAGTATGGGGGATGGAAAGGAGGAAGTATGGGGGATGGAAAGGAGGGAGAAGTATGGGGGATGGAAAGGAGGAAGTATGGGGGATGGAAAGGAGGAAGTATGGGGGATGGAAAGGAGGAAGTATGGGGGATGGAAAGGAGGAAGTATGGGGGATGGAAAGGAGGAAGTATGGGGGATGGAAAGGAGGAAGTATGGGGGATGGAAAGGAGGAAGTATGGGGGATGGAAAGGAGGAAGTATGGGGGATGGAAAGGAGGAAGAAGTATGGGGGATGGAAAGGAGGAAGTATGGGGGATGGAAAGGAGGAAGTATGGGGGATGGAAAGGAGGAAGTATGGGGGATGGAAAGGAGGAAGTATGGGGGATGGAAAGGAGGAAGTATGGGGGATGGAAAGGAGGAAGTATGGGGGATGGAAAGGAGGAAGTATGGGGGATGGAAAGGAGGAAGTATGGGGGATGGAAAGGAGGAAGTATGGGGGATGGAAAGGAGGAAGTATGGGGGATGGAAAGGAGGAAGTATGGGGGATGGAAAGGAGGAAGTATGGGGGATGGAAAGGAGGAAGTATGGGGGATGGAAAAGAGGAAGTATGGGGGATGGAAAGGAGGAAGTATGGGGGATGGAAAGGAGGGAGAAGTATGGGGGATGGAAAGGAGGGAGAAGTATGGGGGATGGAAAGGAGGGAGAAGTATGGGGGATGGAAAGGAGGAGAAGTATGGGGGATGGAAAGGAGGAAGTATGGGGGATGGAAAGGAGGGAGAAGTATGGGGGATGGAAAGGAGGGAGAAGTATGGGGGATGGAAAGGAGGGAGAAGTATGGGGGATGGAAAGGAGGGAGAAGTATGGGGGATGGAAAGGAGGAAATATGGGGGATGGAAAGGAGGGAGAAGTATGGGGGATGGAAAGGAGGAAGTATGGGGGATGGAAAGGAGGAAGTATGGGGGATGGAAAGGAGGAAGTATGGGGGATGGAAAGGAGGAAATATGGGGGATGGAAAGGAGGAAGTATGGGGGATGGAAAGGAGGAAGTATGGGGGATGGAAAGGAGGAAGTATGGGGGATGGAAAGGAGGAAGTATGGGGGATGGAAAGGAGGAAGTATGGGGGATGGAAAGGAGGAAGTATGGGGGATGGAAAGGAGGAAGTATGGGGGATGGAAAGGAGGAAGTATGGGGGATGGAAAAGAGGAAGTATGGGGGATGGAAAGGAGGAAGTATGGGGGATGGAAAGGAGGGAGAAGTATGGGGGATGGAAAGGAGGGAGAAGTATGGGGGATGGAAAGGAGGGAGAAGTATGGGGGATGGAAAGGAGGGAGAAGTATGGGGGATGGAAAGGAGGAAGTATGGGGGATGGAAAGGAGGGAGAAGTATGGGGGATGGAAAGGAGGGAGAAGTATGGGGGATGGAAAGGAGGGAGAAGTATGGGGGATGGAAAGGAGGGAGAAGTATGGGGGATGGAAAGGAGGAAATATGGGGGATGGAAAGGAGGGAGAAGTATGGGGGATGGAAAGGAGGAAGTATGGGGGATGGAAAGGAGGAAGTATGGGGGATGGAAAGGAGGAAGTATGGGGGATGGAAAGGAGGAAGTATGGGGGATGGAAAGGAGGAAGTATGGGGGATGGAAAGGAGGAAGTATGGGGGATGGAAAGGAGGAAGTATGGGGGATGGAAAGGAGGAAGTATGGGGGATGGAAAGGAGGAAGTATGGGGGATGGAAAGGAGGAAGTATGGGGGATGGAAAGGAGGAAGTATGGGGGATGGAAAGGAGGAAGTATGGGGGATGGAAAGGAGGAAGTATGGGGGATGGAAAGGAGGAAGTATGGGGGATGGAAAGGAGGAGAAGTATGGGGGATGGAAAGGAGGGAGAAGTATGGGGGATGGAAAGGAGGGAGAAGTATGGGGGATGGAAAGGAGGAAGTATGGGGATGGAAAGGAGGAAGTATGGGGATGGAAAGGAGGAAGTATGGGGGATGGAAAGGAGGGAGAAGTATGGGGGATGGAAAGGAGGGAGTATGGGGGATGGAAAGGAGGAAGTATGGGGGATGGAAAGGAGGGAGAAGTATGGGGGATGGAAAGGAGGGAGTATGGGGGATGGAAAGGAGGAAGTATGGGGGATGGAAAGGAGGAAGTATGGGGGATGGAAAGGAGGAAGTATGGGGGATGGAAAGGAGGAAGTATGGGGGATGGAAAGGAGGAAGTATGGGGGATGGAAAGGAGGAAGTATGGGGGATGGAAAGGAGGAAGTATGGGGGATGGAAAGGAGGGAGAAGTATGGGGGATGGAAAGGAGGGAGAAGTATGGGGGATGGAAAGGAGGAAGTATGGGGGATGGAAAGGAGGGAGAAGTATGGGGGATGGAAAGGAGGAAGTATGGGGGATGGAAAGGAGGAAGTATGGGGGATGGAAAGAAGGAAGTATGGGGGATGGAAAGGAGGAAGTATGGGGGATGGAAAGGAGGAAGTATGGGGGATGGAAAGGAGGAAGTATGGAGGATGGAAAGGAGGAAGTATGGGGGATGGAAAGGAGGAAGTATGGGGGATGGAAAGGAGGAAGTATGGGGGATGGAAAGGAGGAAGTATGGGGGATGGAAAGGAGGAAGTATGGGGGATGGAAAGGAGGAAGTATGGGGATGGAAAGGAGGAAGTATGGAGGATGGAAAGGAGGAAGTATGGAGGATGGAAAGGAGGAAGTATGGGGGATGGAAAGGAGGGAGAAGTATGGGGGATGGAAAGGAGGGAGAAGTATGGGGGATGGAAAGGAGGGAGAAGTATGGGGATGGAAAGGAGGGAGAAGTATGGGGGATGGAAAGGAGGGAGAAGTATGGGGGATGGAAAGGAGGGAGAAGTATGGGGGATGGAAAGGAGGAAGTATGGGGGATGGAAAGGATGGAGGAAGTATGGGGATGGAAAGGAGGAAGTACTGGGGGATGGAAAGGAGGAAGTATGGGGGATGGAAAGGAGGAAGTATGGGGGATGGAAATGAGGAAGTATGGGGGATGGAAAGGAGGGAGAAGTATGGGGGATGGAAAGGAGGAAGTATGGGGGATGGAAAGGAGGGAGAAGTATGGGGGATGGAAAGGAGGAAGTATGGGGGATGGAAAGGAGGAAGTATGGGGGATGGAAAGGAGGAAGTATGGGGGATGGAAAGGAGGAAGTATGGGGGATGGAAAGGAGGAAGTATGGGGGATGGAAAGGAGGGAGAAGTATGGGGGATGGAAAGGAGGGAGAAGTATGGGGGATGGAAAGGAGGAAGTATGGGGGATGGAAAGGAGGAAGTATGGGGGATGGAAAGGAGGAAGTATGGGGGATGGAAAGGAGGAGGAAGTATGGGGATGGAAAGGAGGAAGTATGGGGGATGGAAAGGAGGAAGTATGGGGGATGGAAAGGAGGGAGAAGTATGGGGGATGGAAAGGAGGAAGTATGGGGGATGGAAAGGAGGAAGTATGGGGGATGGAAAGGAGGAAGTATGGGGGATGGAAAGGAGGAAGTATGGGGGATGGAAAGGAGGAAGTATGGGGGATGGAAAGGAGGAAGTATGGGGGATGGAAAGGAGGAAGTATGGGGGATGGAAAGGAGGAAGTATGGGGGATGGAAAGGAGGAAGTATGGGGGATGGAAAGGAGGAAGTATGGGGGATGGAAAGGAGGAAGTATGGGGGATGGAAAGGAGGAAGTATGGGGGATGGAAAGGAGGAAGTATGGGGGATGGAAAGGAGGAAGTATGGGGGATGGAAAGGAGGAAGTATGGGGGATGGAAAGGAGGAAGTATGGGGGATGGAAAGGAGGAAGTATGGGGGATGGAAAGGAGGAAGTATGGGGGATGGAAAGGAGGAAGTATGGGGATGGAAAGGAGGAAGTATGGAGGATGGAAAGGAGGAAGTATGGGGGATGGAAAGGAGGAAGTATGGGGGATGGAAAGGAGGAAGTATGGGGGATGGAAAGGAGGAAGTATGGGGGATGGAAAGGAGGAAGTATGGGGGATGGAAAGGAGGAAGTATGGGGAATGGAAAGGAGGAAGTATGGGGGATGGAAAGGAGGGAGAAGTATGGGGGATGGAAAGGAGGGAGAAGTATGGGGGATGGAAAGGAGGGAGAAGTATGGGGGATGGAAAGGAGGGAGAAGTATGGGGGATGGAAAGGAGGGAGAAGTATGGGGGATGGAAAGGAGGAAGTATGGGGGATGGAAAGGAGGGAGAAGTATGGGGGATGGAAAGGAGGGAGAAGTATGGGGGATGGAAAGGAGGGAGAAGTATGGGGGATGGAAAGGAGGGAGAAGTATGGGGGATGGAAAGGAGGGAGAAGTATGGGGGATGGAAAGGAGGGAGAAGTATGGGGGATGGAAAGGAGGAAATATGGGGGATGGAAAGGAGGAAGTATGGGGGATGGAAAGGAGGGAGAAGTACGGGGGATGGAAAGGAGGAAGTATGGGGGATGGAAAGGAGGAAGTATGGGGGATGGAAATGAGGAAGTATGGGGGATGGAAAGGAGGGAGAAGTATGGGGGATGGAAAGGAGGAAGTATGGGGGATGGAAAGGAGGGAGAAGTATGGGGGATGGAAAGGAGGAAGTATGGGGGATGGAAAGGAGGAAGTATGGGGGATGGAAAGGAGGAAGTATGGGGGATGGAAAGGAGGAAGTATGGGGGATGGAAAGGAGGAAGTATGGGGGATGGAAAGGAGGGAGAAGTATGGGGGATGGAAAGGAGGGAGAAGTATGGGGGATGGAAAGGAGGAAGTATGGGGGATGGAAAGGAGGAAGTATGGGGGATGGAAAGGAGGAAGTATGGGGGATGGAAAGGAGGAAGTATGGGGGATGGAAAGGAGGAGGAAGTATGGGGGATGGAAAGGAGGAAGTATGGGGGATGGAAAGGAGGAAGTATGGGGGATGGAAAGGAGGGAGAAGTATGGGGGATGGAAAGGAGGGAGAAGTATGGGGGATGGAAAGGAGGAAGTATGGGGGATGGAAAGGAGGGAGAAGTATGGGGGATGGAAAGGAGGGAGAAGTATGGGGGATGGAAAGGAGGAAGTATGGGGGATGGAAAGGAGGAAATATGGGGGATGGAAAGGAGGGAGAAGTATGGGGGATGGAAAGGAGGAAGTATGGGGGATGGAAAGGAGGAAGTATGGGGGATGGAAAGGAGGAAGTATGGGGGATGGAAAGGAGGAAGTATGGGGGATGGAAAGGAGGAAGTATGGGGGATGGAAAGGAGGAAGTATGGGGGATGGAAAGGAGGAAGTATGGGGGATGGAAAGGAGGGAGTATGGGGGATGGAAAGGAGGAAGTATGGGGGATGGAAAGGAGGAAGTATGGGGGATGGAAAGGAGGAAGTATGGGGGATGGAAAGGAGGAAGTATGGGGGATGGAAAGGAGGAAGTATGGGGGATGGAAAGGAGGAAGTATGGGGGATGGAAAGGAGGAAGTATGGGGGATGGAAAGGAGGAAGTATGGGGGATGGAAAGGAGGAAGTATGGGGGATGGAAAGGAGGAAGTATGGGGGATGGAAAGGAGGAAGTATGGGGGATGGAAAGGAGGAAGTATGGGGGATGGAAAGGAGGGAGAAGTATGGGGGATGGAAAGGAGGGAGAAGTATGGGGGATGGAAAGGAGGGAGAAGTATGGGGGATGGAAAGGAGGGAGGGTATGGGGGATGGAAAGGAGGGAGGGTATGGGGGATGGAAAGGAGGAAGTATGGGGGATGGAAAGGAGGAAGTATGGGGGATGGAAAGGAGGGAGAAGTATGGGGGATGGAAAGGAGGAAGTATGGGGGATGGAAAGGAGGGAGAAGTATGGGGGATGGAAAGGAGGGAGAAGTATGGGGGATGGAAAGGAGGGAGTATGGGGGATGGAAAGGAGGAAGTATGGGGGATGGAAAGGAGGGAGAAGTATGGGGGATGGAAAGGAGGAAGTATGGGGGATGGAAAGGAGGGAGAAGTATGGGGGATGGAAAGGAGGGAGAAGTATGGGGGATGGAAAGGAGGGAGTATGGGGGATGGAAAGGAGGAAGTATGGGGGATGGAAAGGAGGAAGTATGGGGGATGGAAAGGAGGAAGTATGGGGGATGGAAAGGAGGAAGTATGGGGGATGGAAAGGAGGAAGTATGGGGGATGGAAAGGAGGAAGTATGGGGGATGGAAAGGAGGAAGTATGGGGGATGGAAAGGAGGAAGTATGGGGGATGGAAAGGAGGAAGTATGGGGGATGGAAAGGAGGAAGTATGGGGGATGGAAAGGAGGAAGTATGGGGGATGGAAAGGAGGAAGTATGGGGGATGGAAAGGAGGAAGTATGGGGGATGGAAAGGAGGAAGTATGGGGGATGGAAAGGAGGAAGTATGGGGGATGGAAAGGAGGAAGTATGGGGGATGGAAAGGAGGAAGTATGGGGGATGGAAAGGAGGAAGTATGGGGGATGGAAAGGAGGGAGAAGTATGGGGGATGGAAAGGAGGGAGTATGGGGGATGGAAAGGAGGAAGTATGGGGGATGGAAAGGAGGAAGTATGGGGGATGGAAAGGAGGAAGTATGGGGGATGGAAAGGAGGAAGTATGGGGGATGGAAAGGAGGAAGTATGGGGGATGGAAAGGAGGAAGTATGGGGGATGGAAAGGAGGAAGTATGGGGGATGGAAAGGAGGAAGTATGGGGGATGGAAAGGAGGAAGTATGGGGGATGGAAAGGAGGAAGTATGGGGGATGGAAAGGAGGAAGTATGGGGGATGGAAAGGAGGAAGTATGGGGGATGGAAAGGAGGAAGTATGGGGGATGGAAAGGAGGAAGTATGGGGGATGGAAAGGAGGAAGTATGGGGATGGAAAGGAGGAAGTATGGGGGATGGAAAGGAGGAAGTATGGGGGATGGAAAGGAGGAAGTATGGGGGATGGAAAGGAGGAAGTATGGGGGATGGAAAGGAGGAAGTATGGGGGATGGAAAGGAGGAAGTATGGGGGATGGAAAGGAGGAGGAAGTATGGGGGATGGAAAGGAGGAAGTATGGGGGATGGAAAGGAGGAGGAAGTATGGGGGATGGAAAGAAGGAGGAAGTATGGGGGATGGGAAGGAGGGAGTATGGGGGATGGAAAGGAGGGAGTATGGGGGATGGGAAGGAGGGAGTATGGGGGATGGAAAGGAGGGAGTATGGGGGATGGAAAGGAGGGAGTATGGGGGATGGAAAGGAGGAAGTATGGGGGATGGAAAGGAGGAAGTATGGGGGATGGAAAGGAGGAAGTATGGGGGATCGAAAGGAGGAAGTATGGGGGATCGAAAGGAGGAAGTATGGGGGATCGAAAGGAGGAAGTATGGGGGATGGAAAGGAGGAAGTATGGGGGATCGAAAGGAGGAAGTATGGGGATGGAAAGGAGGAAGTATGGGGGATGGAAAGGAGGAAGTATGGGGGATCGAAAGGAGGAAGTATGGGAGATCGAAAGGAGGAAGTATGGGGGATCGAAAGGAGGAAGTATGGGGGATGGAAAGGAGGAAGTATGGGGGATGGAAAGGAGGAAGTATGGGGGATGGAAAGGAGGAAGTATGGGGGATGGAAAGGAGGAAGTATGGGGGATGGAAAGGAGGAAGTATGGGGGATGGAAAGGAGGAAGTATGGGGGATGGAAAGGAGGAAGTATGGGGGATGGAAAGGAGGAAGTATGGGGGATGGAAAGGAGGAAGTATGGGGGATGGAAAGGAGGAAGTATGGGGGATGGAAAGGAGGAAGTATGGGGGATGGAAAGGAGGAAGTATGGGGGATGGAAAGGAGGAAGTATGGGGGATGGAAAGGAGGAAGTATGGGGGATGGAAAGGAGGAAGTATGGGGGATGGAAAGGAGGAAGTATGGGGGATGGAAAGGAGGAAGTATGGGGGATGGAAAGGAGGAAGTATGGGGGATGGAAAGGAGGAAGTATGGGGGATGGAAAGGAGGAAGTATGGGGGATGGAAAGGAGGAAGTATGGGGGATGGAAAGGAGGAAGTATGGGGGATGGAAAGGAGGAAGTATGGGGGATGGAAAGGAGGAAGTATGGGGGATGGAAAGGAGGAAGTATGGGGGATGGAAAGGAGGAAGTATGGGGGATGGAAAGGAGGAAGTATGGGGGATGGAAAGGAGGGAGAAGTATGGGGGATGGAAAGGAGGAAGTATGGGGGATGGAAAGGAGGAAGTATGGGGGATGGAAAGGAGGGAGAAGTATGGGGGATGGAAAGGAGGGAGAAGTATGGGGGATGGAAAGGAGGAAGTATGGGGGATGGAAAGGAGGGAGTATGGGGGATGGAAAGGAGGAAGTATGGGGGATCGAAAGGAGGAAGTATGGGGGATGGAAAGGAGGAAGTATGGGGGATGGAAAGGAGGAAGTATGGGGGATGGAAAGGAGGAAGTATGGGGGATGGAAAGGAGGAAGTATGGGGGATGGAAAGGAGGAAGTATGGGGGATGGAAAGGAGGAAGTATGGGGGATGGAAAGGAGGAAGTATGGGGGATGGAAAGGAGGGAGAAGTATGGGGGATGGAAAGGAGGGAGTATGGGGGATGGAAAGGAGGAAGTATGGGGGATGGAAAGGAGGAAGTATGGGGGATGGAAAGGAGGAAGTATGGGGGATGGAAAGGAGGAAGTATGGGGGATGGAAAGGAGGAAGTATGGGGGATGGAAAGGAGGAAGTATGGGGGATGGAAAGGAGGAAGTATGGGGGATGGAAAGGAGGAAGTATGGGGGATGGAAAGGAGGAAGTATGGGGGATGGAAAGGAGGAAGTATGGGGGATGGAAAGGAGGAAGTATGGGGGATGGAAAGGAGGAAGTATGGGGGATGGAAAGGAGGAAGTATGGGGGATGGAAAGGAGGAAGTATGGGGGATGGAAAGGAGGAAGTATGGGGGATGGAAAGGAGGAAGTATGGGGGATGGAAAGGAGGGAGAAGTATGGGGGATGGAAAGGAGGAAGTATGGGGGATGGAAAGGAGGAAGTATGGGGGATGGAAAGGAGGGAGAAGTATGGGGGATGGAAAGGAGGGAGAAGTATGGGGGATGGAAAGGAGGAAGTATGGGGGATGGAAAGGAGGGAGTATGGGGGATGGAAAGGAGGAAGTATGGGGGATCGAAAGGAGGAAGTATGGGGGATGGAAAGGAGGAAGTATGGGGGATGGAAAGGAGGAAGTATGGGGGATGGAAAGGAGGAAGTATGGGGGATGGAAAGGAGGAAGTATGGGGGATGGAAAGGAGGAAGTATGGGGGATGGAAAGGAGGAAGTATGGGGGATGGAAAGGAGGAAGTATGGGGGATGGAAAGGAGGAAGTATGGGGGATGGAAAGGAGGGAGAAGTATGGGGGATGGAAAGGAGGAAGTATGTGTTATAGTCACAATAGGCTTGAATGTGCCTAAAACGAAAGATAGTGAGCACAGACGGATTTCTGCACAGCGGCTTCAAACGTTGATAGCGTTCTGCTCACAGCTGCAAATGACCTGATTCAAATTGGATCTGGAGCGTCTTCACGTCGTCTACAATTAGCAATTTAGATTGCACGATTCAAACGTGTCATTCTCCTCAATGCTCTTCAGCTCACTCTCCATGGCCTTCTTCCACTCCTCAGCATCACTACTCTCCAAAGCCTCCTTGAGAGTTGCTGGTTCTCCCGGCATCTCCACCGGAGAGAAGAACGCGAAGGCACACTCCTCGTAGTCACTCTCCTCGTCGTCTCCGACCATCATTGCCGCTCCGGCCAGGGCTGTCTTGCCCTGCTTTCCCGGCGCATCATAGGTCAGCCTATTAGGGGGTTGAACTCTCCTCTTCCCCCTTCCTTCCTCCTCAGCTGCAGGGACTTGAAGGCCTTGGCGTTGCTGCGGTGTAGCTCGAATCCGTGGAGCACTCGTAGTACGGGAAGGGAGTGACGGTGCACGCTCGCTCACTTGCTGCACCTCCTCCTCTTCTTCCTCTGCATCATTGGCCTCCTCTCCCCCATTCACAAGGGAGGATTGCCTTGTGGTTGTGCTGCCGCTGCTCAGCTCCAAAGGCAGCTCCACATGCTCCAAACCGGAACTCTTCACCTCCCCAAACTGCACGCCTATCTTCGCCTCATTCTCCGCCTTCCAATCCTTGTACATGAAGTTCTCCATGAACTTGCAGTCCCTGCTCACCAAGAACTTCTTGGTGAATGGGTCCCAAAGAAGCCATCCCTTGCTGTTTTGAGCCATGCCCAAGTGCACGGCCCACACCGCCTTGGCACCAAGCTTGTTGTGCCGAAGATGCTTAGGCACGAGCGCCATGCACATGCACCCGAACACCCGAAGCATATCCACCTTTGGCTTCCTTCCTAGCCACTCCACATAGGGCACCCATTTGTCTGCTCCCACATGAGTCAAGGCTCTGTTCTTGGCCACACACGCGCTCCGCACCGCATCAGGCCAGAAATAGTCGGGTAGCCCGGCTTCAATGAGCAACCCGCGTGCCGCCTCCGTGATTGTGCGGTTCGCTCACTCGGCGATGCCGTTCATTGCAGGGGAGTATGGCATGGTGAGGGAGTGCCGAATACCTCTCTTCTTCAGCCACAACCCAAACTCCTTGCTCAGGAACTCTCCCCCTCGATCGGTGCGGATTGACTTGACTAGACGGTCTTGTTGCCGCTCCACCATCGGGAACCAATCCGTCTTCAACGTTTCAGCCACGTCGCTCTTCTTGGCCAGCACGTACACCCAAGTCATGCGGGTGTAGACGTCGACAATGGTGAGAAAATACTCAGCTCCAGCAGCTCCAAGCTTCAGGGGGCCCACCACGTCCATCACCACCTCATCAAGCGGTGCCTTTGCCGTTGCCTCCGAACTAGGGAACGGAAACCGGGTGAACCTGGCTTGAATGCACGTCGGGCAGCCAAGCACCTCATCGGGCTCCCCCTTCACACGTATGCCAGCAACCATCTCATTCTTCACTAGCTGCTGCAAGATGGGCAGGGCCACATGCCCCATGCGCCGATGCAAGGTGAGCCAATCACACTCCCCCGTAGCCGAAGTTGGATTGGAGAATGCCGCGCTCGCAATAGCGCCCCACATACTCTCTCCGTAGTCCTCCTCCGCTGCTGCCTCTGGGTTCTCCTCACCCTTTTGCTGCTCCTTGGTTGCTGCACCACTCTCCTTAGGTTCACTGAACTTGCTGGTCCCTCCAGGTTTGCTCTTCTTGAGCTCATTCTCCTTAGCGCGACCGTTCGCGCCATCGTCGCTACCGACCGCTCCATCCTTGGTGCTGATGCTTGCTGCCACTTGCCTCTCCTTAGGCATAGGGACCACTGGGATCTGCCACATCTCGTTGTAGACATCCCTGTCCTCATGAAGGTCCCAAAGAATTCGATCGCCAAGCCTTGCGGTGTAGGTCTTGGCTCCCTTCGAGTTCGTGTCCATGCCGGCCTTTGCCAACCGCCGCACGGAAATCAGGTTTGCAGCAAGGCTGGGCACCCAAAGCACGTTCTTGAGGCCCACCATCTTCCCATCAGCACCCTTGAACATGGCCTTGCCCATGCCTTTCACCTCTGCTCGCTGCCCCAAAGCCGATGTGACATGCTTCACCGGTGACGGCTCGAGTTCGGTGAGCAAGTCCGGGCGAGGTGTCATGCTATAGGTAGCGCCACTATCAATCACCCAATAGTCCAGGGGGTGTAGGGTCACCTTCCCCACAGCTGCTGGCTCCTCAAAGCCTTCATCCTTCTCTGGACCAGCCGGTACTTGCGTCGACACGAAGTAGAATAGACCCGGGTATCGATCGTCGCTCGGGTCCTTGTCGTTGTCTCCGCTCTTCATGTTTGCAGCTCCGCCACCGCGACCGCCACGGCCTCCACGGCCTCGTCCTCTCCCTCCTCCTGCTCCTCTACCCTCTTGGCCTTGAGCAGGGGTCCAACCATCAGGGAGTTTGTAGCAGTCGCGCCACATGTGTCCGCTCTTGTGGCAATAGTGACACTCGCCGTCGAATCGGCCGCGACCGCGTCCGTAGCTCTTGTCGTCGCTGCCATAACCGCCACTTCTGCGGCCTCCGCCGAAGTTGCTGCCACCAAACCTTCCTCCCCCTCGTCCTCTGCCTCTTCCTCGACCATATCCACGGCCGATGCTCGCTGCCCCAGCGCCATCCGCACTCGCCAACTCACGGCGGCGGAAATCCTCTTGAAGGATAGCTCGCTTCACGTCTTCAAGCGAGAGGCGGGGCAAGTCGCGATTAAGGTTGATGATGAGCGAGGACCATGACTCTGGGAGTAAGGCCAGCAACTTGGTCTTTTTTTGGAGCTCACTGTAATTCAAATCAGCTCCCTCAAGCCGCGTCAACAAGTCGAAGAATTTCTGCACCCCTTCTTCAACCGCTTCGTCTTCTTCAATTCGTAGTGCCGCCATTTGCCGTTCCAACACCACCGCTACCGCCGCTGTTGCAGGAGCATGTACACCCTTGAGAGCAGCCCATGCCTTTGGTCCTTTCTCTGGTTCACGCTGGAATGGCTTGATGTGACGGATCTGACTGCTCCCCAACGCTTGCCCAAGTAAGAGATAGCCTTGTGCGCTCTTCCGCACCCACGGGCTCTTCTCCGGGTCGTTCTCGGGGCGCTTCTCCGTTCCTTCCATCACCTCCAGCAGGTCATAGTGGTCAAAGATGTTCTCCATCTTGAAGGACCATTCAGCAAAGTTGTCACCGTTGAACTTGTCAAGCCCAAACACCCTAGGCTCATCCCTAGGTGGGCCAAGACTTGGTTGCATGGGCGCCATGGCTGAATCACGGGGTTGGCCTTGAGCTTGAGCTTCTCCACTGCCACCAGCACCTCTGCCACCCCTTTCCTCAGGTCCAGACATTGTCGAAACTGCTCCAAGGGCTCTGATACCACTTGTTATAGTCACAATAGGCTTGAATGTGCCTAAAACGAAAGATAGAGAGCACAGACGGATTTCTGCACAGCGGCTTCAAACGTTGATAGCGTTCTGCTCACAGCTGCAAATGACTTGATTCAAATTGAATCTGGAGCGTCTTCATGTCGTCTACAATTAGCAATTTAGATTGCACGATTTGATAAAGAATTGACGACACAGCGTCGGTTTGAACGAACGGTACTATGGCAGCCACTATAGTCTTAGAACACAAGATAGGAAGAGTTACGAGTTGGGAATGACTCCCAGCTCCTACAAACCCCAAGAGCCGAGGTACAGTGATGTGGAACAGTGCCACACTGTCCCCAACCACGAAGGGTCTCGAAACTACCCTTCACTGGGGCCTACACCAAGTGAAATGTTACACTACACAAAGTAATGTAACTATCTTCAATATCTTGAGGTGTACCCTTTTGGCAAGCTTCGAAATCACTTGAGGCTTGACACCAAGGCTCGGGCTCTTCATCACAAACTCACCCTTGAGTTCTTGATGGGTCTGCTGCACACACCTGCGACACGCCGAACGTTCGACACAGGACAAAATAGAAACCGCGCACGACAAAATAGAAACCGCGCGCGAGACACAAACGACCGCGTAAGACGCGTCTAGCGATAACTCGCTATTGACTCGACACACACACTCGACATCATGACTCAACATTCACACACAATTATAAGCATGAAATATATATTATCCCATGCCCTCATACCATTCCATACACACACACATTCACGCACACGGACAACAAGCCGAGTGCAAACCGTAGGGTTGCACCAACAAACTCCCCCTCGGATTGTTGGCCTTAGGATATGTTGCTCTCTCAGTTCAGAGCCATCCCAGCCAGCTTGCAACACTTCCAATGCTGCTGCTCTACCAGCCTCTTGGTCATCATGTCAGCCGGCTGCCCCGTGGTCTTCACGTAGCGCAACTCAACTTCACCCGCGGTTACCATGCTCCTCGTCCAATGCCACTTCACCCTCATGTGCTTCGTGAGTCCATGCAACACAGGGTTCTTAGCAAGAGCAATGGCACCCTGGCTGTCACAGTACAGTGGGGTAGGTCCTTGCTGCTCCTCCCCCAATTCAGCCAACAAACGCCGCTGCCACACAATCTCCCGTACGGCACGGAAGAGTGCCATGTACTCGGACTCCACCGAGCTCAAAGCTTGGTCAACCTGCTTCTTGCTCTCCCAAGAAGTTGGGCCTCCACCAACACAGCATATGAAGCCTCCCACACTTGTCATGTCCTCTGGTTCTGATGCATATGAAGCATCCGAGTAGGCGGTGAGGAACAAACGCCCGGGTTCAACACCATCCGCGCCCTTTTGGCGCCTTTGTGCCGCCGCCGAGTATTGCAGCCCAACGGTCGGTGTTTGGCCAAGATACTTGGCCACCCTCATTCCAGCTGCTACCTGCTCCTCATTAGGGCATTTCACAACCCTAGCCAGCTGCCCGGTAGCAAACGCGACGTCCGGTCGGGTGTTTACCGCCGCATACATGAGGCTGCCCACCAACGAGTGAAATCGGCGCCTCTCCTCTTCACCAACGCTCTCCTCCTCTGGTCCCTTCACACACTTGAACCCAGAGGGAAAGGGTGTAGCCACATGGCCTTCACTCTGCCCAAAGTTGGCAGCCAATGCCTCCAGGTACTTTCGTTGATGCACCCGCATGCACCGCTTCTC